AAGATACCTATCCAAAACTCTTTGGTGAGAAGCTGCACTCCCTTTTTCTTGTTCTGTAGCATAAGGATCAACATTGTTAGAACAAATCATAATGACTAACCCAATTTAGTCCCTTCCTATTCTGATGCAAGTAATTGTTGATCTTGTGATGCTAGAATCTTAAAAATGGTTTTAATTAGTATATGTATATATATAATGCAAACCTCTCCCCCCAACTCAGTAGTTACTTTAACTACTTATATTTCCATTAAAGTAGTGTCGGGACACATCTGCCTCTGCCACTAAAAAGGTAAGTGGCCCCTGAAGTCCCTACGGTGCTTGGTTATTCCATGCCTAAGTCCTTGTTTTGTCTACAAAATGCAAGGCAGCAAAGGCTAGAAGAATAAATCCCAGAGATCAGTTTGCTAAAGCAGTTTTTGCTAGTTCTTGGATTTCTCTTCACGCTCTGTAGGGAAAAGTGATTTAGAGCTCCCAGCAAATCTTGGCCCTGTGATTCGGGAGAAGGCTGGGGTGCCCCAGCGGAAACATGCTGTCCCGCTGCCTTCACACTGTGCTGAAGCTGTGGGCCTCCTCCTGCCCTGCTGTGGGGCCGCTTGTCCCCACCTGCCCCTCAGCCCTTGCGCTGGCACTGGTCCGCCCGCTCAGCAGGCAGATTTGATGTGGATCATTAACTTGGCAGAAGAACGTCCCTTCCTTCTGCTGCAGTTACTGACTGGGTTTTCTGTGTCACCGGGTGAGCTCCAGAGCTTAGCATGAGGAAGGAGCACGCAGCTAGGGAGGAGAACAGCCCAGCAGGCAACGGACACCTGTGAGGTAAGTACAGCATCGCCTTTATATGCAAAATAAAAGCATCTTAAAAGCACGGCTTCATAAGATCCAGCGGGTCAAATTAGCAACTTGCAGCCACCACCTACGGTCTTCTTGCTGGATTGCTTGCTCTGGACCCTCTATCAGCTGTTTCAGCTCACTGCACTAGCAGAAAACAAAACAAACGAGAAAGCCTGGGGTTTAGGCTGGTGTTACCATGTTTAGCAAGTCAGATCAGCTCCTAGCAGGGTCTGATGAGCAGTGGCCAAGAAGGAATGGTGGCTTTGAGAGCAAGGGAGGAGGAGTGGATGAGCAGTAGCATTTATGCACAGACCTTTCCCCCTCTCCTCCTACCAGAGTGCCGTGGCAGTTGTCTGGGGAACTGCAGTCCCAACACCCGTCCCACTTAGATATATGCATACTTGTATGGAAACACACCTGTGTATGTGTACGAAGATCTATACACACACACATATGAATATATATACACAAATACATATCCTTCAGTAGTTTAACAGATTGTGGTTTTTTTCAGTGCCTGACAAACTCAGTCCTTCCAAACCGGAGCACCACAGCAGGGAGGTGAGGTTTGCCTTGGTCACGCTCTCCGTGGCCACACGGTGGTGATGAGAAGGGAGCTGGGTGGGACAGGTGGCCTCTGAGCTGCCCTTCAGGGCGGGCTCCCAGTGCGGGCAGGAGTTCCAAACACAAGTGCGCTAACCAGGAAGGCTGACACCAGCTATTTTATGTCTACCGGCTCTAAATCATCCTGGTGATACTTCAGAATCTTGAGTACAGCGTAGCTTAAGAATTGCTTTTTTAAAGTGAGCTTCTGATTCTTGTGCTGACCCCTTGCTGCTCCTTCCCCCAGCAGACATGTCCCTCTCCTGCTGTGGGCTCGCTCTCTATTCTTCTGGGAGTCTGCAGCACCCCTGCAAAATTTGTTAGCTCATCTCTTGATCTTTCAAGCACCTATGTTCTCCTGCCATGCCGAATCAACAGGGATTCCAGTTAACAACTTAGTCTCCTGGGGAATTACAGTCTACTGTCACCAGCAGGTTCACCTTCTGAGTTAGGAAGTCAAAAGTCAGAGCCTTGCAGGCTGATTGTCTTCAGAAGAGCCTGGTGAGACCAGCTGGGTGACGATGCAACCATCTCCTTTATTCCAAAATCTGATTTCACCATCAGAACAGCAGCAGCTGGCCCTCAGCGTTTCCAAATCCATCGTCGTGTCAAGGGCTCCATCTTCCTGCTCCTGCTGAGGAGACACATGGATTCAGCCCAACCTGCTAATCTTACCAGCTTTCCAACGCTCCGTAAATTGTCAAGCTGCACTTTGTGCCTGCAATCAGGGGGCACCCCCACTAGCTGTGCCAGGACATGTACCACATGGTAAGGAGTTAAGACAAATCCAGGAAAAATAAGCCTAAAACTCCCTTCCATTTTTCCTCACACTGTTCTGGTTTTGCGCCTATGTCGGTGTGGTGGGTTGTCCCTGGCTGGACACCTGGTGCACACCAAGCTGCTGGATGGGGGGGCAGAAAATAAGATGAAAAAGAACTCCAGGGCCAAAATAAAGGCAGTTTAATAAATCAAAAACAAAGGCTTCATGCAGAAGCAAAGGAAAACAAAATTATTCTCCATTTCCCATCAGCAGGTGATGTCCAGACACTGCCTGGGAGGCAGGGCCTCGGTATGCACAGCAGCTCGTCCAGAAGACAAACACCTTGATAATGAATAGCCCCTCCCACCTCTTTCCTGTTAGCCTCTCTTGCTGAGCATGACATCATACAGAGTGTCTCTCTGGTCACCTTGGGCCAGCCGTCCTGCCTGTGCCCCTTCCAACCTCCTTCCTGCTCTCAGGGGGCTGCAGGCAGCCCTGGTGCTGTGCGAGCACTGCTCAGCAGCAGCCGAAATGCTGGGGTGTTACCAGCACCCTTCTAGCTACCAGTACAGAGCACAGCCCCGCGGGGGGAGCTGGCTCCCTCCCGGCCAGGAGGACCAAGGCAGTTGGTGGTCCTCACTGGGGGTCCCAGCCAGCACATCACAGCTGGCAACAGATTTAAACATACAGATTCTCTCCCGAGTTAGGGCAGTGTTTCAACACATACCGACTGTGGGTCTGCATCTGGCAGAAGGACTTTGTGCATCCGGCCTGTCAGTAACTGAAACTACCTTAAATTTTAGTTTGATTTTCCGTTCCTTCTTCTGCCACTAAGTGTACAGGCATATAGAGGCAGAGTTCACCCAGGCAAATAATCTTTCAAGAGAGAGATTGTACTTAGTGTAATAACAATTTATTAGCAAAGCATAGATTGCACAGAGAATTCAGTTGCACATCTACTGCACTCCAGGTTGGACGTTACATCTGAAATGATGTGAGAATGCATCCTCCTCTCCGGCACTGGTGGTGTCAGTTTGGTGGCAATGAAGGGGCAGGCACCCAGGGAATTAGAATGACTTTCACCCTTAATGAAGAGATGAGAATGTAAAGATGACAAGGAAAAGTCTGATATACCTGAAGCCCTTTCATAGTCTGTAGCACTTTGCTGAACCATTATTTCTACTCTTCCATTTTCCCTTCTCCTTCCTGGGCCCCACGCTGTGCTGTTTCTTGCTCAGAAGTGCCACCTGACAGTACCTCCTCCTCCTCCTGCCACTTCCTGGCTTTCTGTAGCCACCAGCAGACAGAAATCAATTTCCGCTGCCAGCTGCAGGCCAGGTCTTGCTTTCCCTCATGTACGAGCAGCCCCCGAAGCAGGCTGTCCAGTTTCAGTATTCCAGCAAGGAGAAGCCTGCCCCTCGGACCGTTCGTGACAGGCAGCCCGCACGTCAGCACTGCAATCCTCCCCTGCCGCGCGACAGCCTCCTGGTTGTGGCTGGGATAGGGTTAATTTTCTTTCTAGTAGCTGGTACAGTGCTGTGGTCTGGATTTTGTGAGACTCATGTTGGTAACACACTGATGTTTTAAGTTGTTAAGTAGCTCCTACCCTAAGTTAGGGACGTTTCAGCTTCCCTGCTGTGCCAGCGAGGAGGTGCACAGGGAGCTGGGAGGGAGCACGGCCGGGGCAGCTGACCCGAACGAGCCAGTGACGGAGGGTGAGCGTCCTCTTCAGCAGGCTGGAGATCACTGCCTGCTCCGACCACACAGTGCAGACGCAAGGACTGCCACTAGAGGTTATCCCCAGCATCTTCATAAAACTTGTACAACCCATGCCGAGCCACATGTCACTCTCGTAGCTCTGCTATATGAATCTTCCTGAAAAAAACAGCCGCCTCTGGCTGAGGAAGACTTCCAGATGAATATGACAGACAAGGCTCAGGCTTGGAAGAAGATCAAGTAACACTGACACCAAAAAGCTTTGCATGCCACAAAGGAGACTAAATGCTCCCGCAGGTAAGCAGGGCACCCGGGCTGCCCCAACCGCTACCAGATTCATTAGACCATACACTTCCCCAGCTCCTCCTTTCTCACAAGCTTACGCCAACCACAGATTCATTGGGAAGCTTGCTTGGACTTCTGCAGTAAATACTTGGATGATTTCTCTTTCCCAAGCTGTTTAGCCAGACCGAAAGACTGACAAGCTGTTGCTTGTTTATTTTCTGAAGCCAGTTTGCAGACAGCAAGAATTAATGTGGGAATGGCTGGCTCTGTTTATGCCAGTTACTCATTAAAAAAAAAAAATATACACCACACACTGGGATGGCATTATTTCCTCCAGCTACACTACAACATGAAGTTCTCTCTGAGAAGAAAAGCTATGGAAGTTCCCAGGAAACTTTCACCGAACCACTGAAGCTAGGGTTGGACAGGGCTTCAAGATACATACTGTCTTTCCTCCTGCCCCACGTCAGGCAGAGCTAACCCAGCAGCTCAAGTCGGCCGCCTGATGCCAGCACACCATGCAGGCACCTCTGAAACACGTGCTAGCACTGCTCCAAAGCTGGCTTCGTAAAAGATTTGGACAACTGGCTACACTGAGATGCTTTCCAAAAGGAAGACCAACTCCAAGAAAACCAGTACAAGAACTAGTAATTACCATGAACTACGAGGATTATCCGAGGAATGGTTCACAAGAGGGAGTCATTTTTGGAAACGGTGTCCATTGTAAGCACAAGAAGCGGAATGGCAAAGTACTAAAACCGAGCCACAGCTATAGACAACTGTGCAAAGTAGAAGATTAAATGACACATCCAGAACTTAGGTTTTTATTTTATGAGCTATTGTATGGGCAGCTGAACATCAATAAGCAATAATATCAGCAACAATAGACAGCCAAGAACCTGATGACGTAAATGGCTAAATCTTCACCTCTGCATCAGAGGTGGAGTATTTTCAGGGAAATACAAGCCTGCAGCTTGCTTTCTAAATGGTAAAGCTACAGCCCTCCGTTATGCAAAAATCCTCACAAAGCTTGAAGTACACACAAAGTAAGTATTTTAATGATAGATTTCTTCAGTCTTCAATCTGTGAATTCAGCTGACAACAGTGTAGTAATTAGAAAAAAGTTCTTCTCCTTGCTTGATGTCTCTGAGAGCGACAAGCACTACACACCTCAGGTGGCTGTAAAAAAAACAAAAAGCAAAACATGTGGACGTGAACAATTACATTTCCCTTTGAATTTTTACAGTCTAGATTAGTTTGGGGAGTAATATGCATAATGCAGGTCAGGGAGCCTGGAAAAACAACACTGAAATACAGATAGCAAATTTAAGTAAAGCCAACAAAAAAAAAGCACAGCCTATGTGGGTATGCAAATGATGTTTCCACTCACAGCATTATTCAGAAATGAAAAGAATTAGTCAAGACACAGAAAGAGACACACACACAGACAGGAGGAGAAGCTACAGCAAAGTTCATGGAACAGAAATCATTCCACAGGCACCAGGTTGGCTAAGCCCACTCTCGGCCACACAACATCCAGAAAGACAGCTCTGAACTGCACCAGAGACCCGCCGCCGCGGGAACTTTCCGTAAACCCCAAGATGAAATGGGTGGCTGGCAAACAGCTTTCTTACAGAGAGATTTAGGAACCCACTCCCCATAAACTTCTTTTAAGTAAATGACCACACCCTAAAGCTGAAGTATCTATTCTAGGAAGGAGAGCCCGTTCTTCTGATGCTGATGAACATAAAAGTGAAGAACAGCATCAACCCAAACAGTCCCCATGACTGAGAAATTTAGCGTGAGGCCATTTGGAAACAAATCCAACAACAACAAAAAGGAAAGCAAGTACTAAGAACTCTTTCACAAGACAGAAAAAAGATTCAGAAAACAGATTACCTATGTTGGCAGCACTGTAAATATCAGCATCAAAACAAGCAGCTATAAACAGATGGGACCTTGAGTCTAGTGGCAGTACACTGGAAGAACTGATGATGGAAAGACCGTATTTTCTTGGACAGATTCCAAATGAAGAGAGCACAATTCCCTCTCCCTGAAATGGTCTCATAGCTTAGCTCTGCTCACTGCATTTTCACACTTCAAGCACAGCATCCAGGCTTCCTGAAAGTTCAGTCTTAACACTTATTAGCATTTATTAATTTATCTGCAGATTACAAGTGTATCTTTAATCTTGCTTCAACAAAGTCTAAGCTTAATCAGAAAAGCCATTTTTTCAATATGCACCCCTACTTTCTCCAACCAAATTTCAGATTTTTAAAATAGCTCCAGAACTACATTAAAAGTCTAGATGATTTGCTCCAAAATCCTTTTCATCTAGAGAATGCAGAAGGATTATTTGGTTCCTGAAGGTAGCAACTGCACCAGAAGCACGATTTCTTTGGTGTGTTAAATTCAGGACCAACCTTACAACTTACTTTCTCCCAGCCTCAGAGTTATTCTTGGTACAGGACACTCACTTCAGAGATATTGTCCATCCTTGTTGTCCATATTGCTCCCTGTACATATTCAACTAATTGTCACTTTTCCCACATTTCCAAATAAAAATCTGAGAAAGGTTTCCAATTGTTTTAATTTCTAAAAGAGGTGGATTTTCAGGTCATAATGAGGATGTTGTAATTGTGTAGCGTAACTAAAAGTCACATGCCTTTACACTGCCTACTATTTCACTTGTCTCAATAAAATCAATTTTAGGTTTCTTCTTGCAAATTGATCTGCTTATTTCTAACATAAGCAGAAGACATGGAGAACAGGCAAGTAAGAAGCCTAAATCTCAACTATCTTAGAAGGGCTTTGATTGGTTAAGGGTTGCAAACTACATTTGAAATACATACCGAAAAGCCTCGGTACTGTAATACAAGCAAAATATAACTAGTGCTTTACGGATTCTGAAGAATCACACTACAGCCTAACCACTGCTTGTAAAAACATGTCTTCAGAGATACGCTGATCTCATTTGTGAAGTTGTGGAAAAAGGAACAAAAAGCTAACTCTTCCACACAGGTGCATACTTTTGTATAACCCATCTTCATATGGAATAATACTGTTCTTCAACCACACTTGTCTTTTTTACACATACAGTGCTTTGTATCATACAAATCTATGAGCTCTTTGATTCGCTGCTAACCTCTCTATGTCATGGCTGTAGACGATGTTTGGAAGATACTGTTTCAGTTCTACTGGAAAAGATCCCGGCACATCAAACTCCTGATAACACACGTTGGCTGCTTTTTCTAGAAATAAGGAAAAAAAAAAGTCTCTATGATACCAAGAAAATCTTAGGTAGGGTTTAGAGATATGTAGACATATCATATGTACTGCTGCAAAAGTACCAGATGCTTTATCAAGCCTGAAAGTCTCTGTAGGGAGCTACTACACTCCTCTGAAATCCTAATTTGAATTTGCACAAGATATACACAACCAATTAGAAGAGCTTTAACTCATCCTCACAGCATTAAACAGGATGACATGGTTATCAACATTTATATGAGGGGCACAACTTGCATAGCACCAGGGGTAGCTTACAGCATTGCTAAATGTTGTTAATATGCAACATTTGCTTCTACAATTAAAAAAAAAAAAAAAAAAACTTGAAAAAAAAAAATCTTCCTGGTGACAAAATACATCATAAATACAGCCAGGGAGAAAATCACCGTCTGTCCAGCAGGAATATGGGAATTTTCTTTACATGGACACTGGACCTGGAGGAAACAGTTTCATGGGACAGTCCTTTGTCTCTGCGCCAGTCAATACCTGGTTCCCTACTCCAGCAACCTGGATGCCACCTGGAGGCAGCATATCTTTAGTGTAATTCAGGCTCTGAAAGCCACTTAGAAGCTAGGTATGGTAGCAATTCAACTTTCTGTAACTTACAACCATTCCCATGAGTTAATTATTTCCCCAAACCTCAAGACCAACACATACTGTGTGAAACAGAATAGATAAATAGTTCCCTTCTTCATGTCCAATAGCTAGATCAGATCAACAGGTCCCTAGATTTTACACATAGACCTAAGGAAGTAAAAAAAAAATTATAGTTCAAACTGAGCAGTGACAGAATTCTACTGTACATGTAACCGTGCATATGGTTATCATGAAGCCTGCTGGAACCACACTGGGGAGCTTGATCTGAAACTGTGTACTGCCTCAGCCCAGCAGTCCTTTGCTAGATTTCCTTTCCTACCACCTGATGTTTTGGCATGTGCGTCTTTCTTTCTACATACCAGGGGGGAGACAGGGGCAGTCAGTGAAAAAAGCACATGGATATCTGAAGCACTGCTGTGCTGAAGGATTCTAATACCCAGCTGTCACAAAAGGCCTCAGAAACTCTTTATCCCATAAGATAGACCGTGTCACCTCCAAAATAATTTATATCCATAAAGACAAACTCAATCCTGGAAAATTTACCTGGAGACTTACCATGTGAGCAGTTGTTGACATACTGTCCCATGGCCAGTGGGTTCTGCAGGGTAGCTGTGAGCCAGCTCTCATCACTCATTTGAAATGGGCCAAGTTGGTCTCTCCTGATGCAAGACCTGAAATGACCAACAGCATTAACGTGAATCACTGCTCCTTCACTCAAAGGGTTATTCATAATTCCTCCTGTAGAAATGGCCGCAGTCGCTGGATAAAGTCACAGGTCTCCAAGCCACCTGGGAGAAAGGGCAAGCCTGGGGTAGGGGTGTGTGTGTGCAGACCAACACCTTGATGATACTTTAAAAAGTACATTTAAACCTCCCACTAGTGGTGTGCTGTCTTTCAGACTCTGGCAGAAGAACCCACACAAAACCACCATGTACGATTCCCGAAATGAACATCAAACATTGCCATTACAGAAGCGTCAACACATGTTGTTCACCTCATTTCCAGAATTAAAATCTGGTATCAGTAGGTATTAGTATTCAAATTCAGTATTATTTTACATCATTTTGCTTGTTATGAATTTTATTTTCATGTAATAGCTAAACACAAATTGCTGCAAATTATGTTTTAGGGTAAGTTAAAACAGTACAGGCCAGCTGCGTCGGGGCAGTTCAGGCTGGACATCAGGAAAAGGCTCCTCACTGAGAGGTGCTTGATCAATGGGACAGGCTCCCCAGGGAAGCGGTCACAGCACCAAGTGTGGCAGAGTTCAAAGACCATCTGGATGACGCTCTTGGTTGTATGGTTTTAGTTTTGGGTAGTCCTGTGAGGAGCAGGGGGCTGAACTCAATGATCTTTATGGGTCCCTTCCAACACGAGATGATGGTAATACTGCTACTATTATAAGGCTTACTGCTCCTTTCCTAAGTGCTGCTCATCTGTAGACCAGAGCCTGAGTTACCAGATTCACTCTTCAGGTGTTAGCAAGTCCATATAGAAGCTTTTTTTTTTTTTTAATCCATTAAGCAGATTTGAGTAACAGCTCAGAATTGTTTAAAAATTTTTATGATACATCCTTCTGCTATTAAAACTATTTTCTTTACAGGAAAGTCTCTGTACATCCAAACGCACCTCACTGGCATTACAGATGAAGACACAAGTACGTAACAGATCACATCCAGCATCTCTTACCCTTGTGTTGCCTGGATTACAAGATACACACAGGTGGATAATACTTAAATATAACTCCATTTAGGTAAGCCAACAGGAAACTGGGACTATTAGTACCACTGTTTTAAATCAGTTGAGTGACAATTCCCCATTTCTTCTGACTGCTTACCTGTACACTGATCTTGATAGTCCTTTATCGTTCCCATCAAGGAGGATGCCATCTATGCATCTAAAAATAAAGGGATTGCCAAGGGACTGGAAAAAGATGGGCTCATGCTTTCTGTATACTGTACCTGTTGCAAGACAGATATGATTATTTCAGGAAAAAATGAATTAACTGTCAGAATGGACTTACGGTATCACCCAGTCCGCCCCCGCCACAGAAACTCAAAGGAGACAACAGAAGGGGTAGCAAAGAACTCCCCTCTCAGTTAACAACATCAACACTTGTAAGTGGACAAGCTTTTAGACACATCCTTGTGGTACGTAAAAAATAATCTAGATAAGCTGAGATATTCCAGCCATTGAAGGAAATCATTAAAGAGAAGGCCTGTGTCCAATATCCAGGTGAGAGGTAGATGAAGCTTCACAGCCAGCTGGCCAGCTTCAGAGAGGAAAACAAGCAACATTTGTTCAGGAAAGGGCAGCTGAAGATATTGTTTTGTTCCTACTGTGCCAGGACTCTTTGAAAAGCACACACAGACAGTGAAAAACCCGAAACACCCCCCTCCACCACCCCGATCAGATGTTTTGTTTGGTACAGGAGAGGGAAAATGCCAAACCACAGATCATTTCAGCAGACACCTTCCGTTATCTGTGGACAGGATTTAACCTGCCCTGGGTTCCAAGCATAGACAAGTGACAGCAGACCAGCTTGCAATTTTTTTATGACATTGCAGTCCTGCATCCCTCACACCCATCCCATCTTCAGCAGCCCTCAGCAGAAGGGCTCACTGCAGTCTCACAAGGAGCTAGGAGAAGGCCCCACCAGAGGGCTGCACTCACTGCCAGACCACAGGCAGGAGAGCACTGATCTGCTCCCACCACTCCCTTCCCCAGACAGCAGCCCTGCAGCCTCCTCCACACCCCTGAAAAAGGAAGACATTTCAACAGCTCATCCTCGTTTTGCTAGATGAGCTGCTAAAGGAGACTCTCAATGGGCCTATACTCACACTTAGTGAGTGCCTGAAATTTGAAGCAAGCTGCAGAGTTGCAGACTCAATCCCTGTGATTGCCATTTGACAATCAGTCAGTTTACTGGTCAATGGCAATGGCCAGACACTCCTGCTTTGGCATGGCAAAATACGGTCTGCTGCCCAATGCTTGGGCCGGTCCCAATCCTGCAATGCTGGCACAAGCTAGAAACGGCATGCAGGGGACAATTCTGTTGACAGATGAAACGGAAACAAATCCAAACCTGTCCATACTGACAGAACTACAAATCTTTTTAAGAAATGTAAGCAAATACAGTTCCAAGAAACGAGGAGGAGTAACAGAGAAGGGTCAATTTTCCAAACATGCTTTATGGAAGAGAGTTCTGCTAAGTAAAAGTTTTATTTTCATTCTCCAATTTGTATTTTCATGCTTTGAAAAAGTCCATAGTCTTGTCTGCTGATCTGTGAAATCTCAAAACTTAATTTTTCAGACCCTTATGCAAAACCCCAAAGAATTAAACTGTATTCTTCACCTACTTGAAATCACTCCCATGCAGTTGTGTTTACAGAACTTGGAACTTTTCTAGCAGCTGAAAAAACATAATCTGAGTACTTAAGGTTTTTTTCACAAAAAAAAATTACACACACACACACACGCCTCATATTGCTTTGCTTATTTCCTAAAGAACTCTAGTAACTTTATACAGAAATATCCTCATTCACCATAACTTGTGATTTTGTTAAGGAATGACAGAAATAGAACCCACAATAGAAGTTAGTGTAGAACTTCAGCATTCTATATATGGTTAGATGGTTAGAAATCACATCTAACTTAATCAGAAAAAAAGAACATTCCATTACCAGGATACATAGACACAACCGTCCCTTTTGGTACAAAACCTTTGGTAACAAACACTCCAGTTCCAGCAGACAACAGGGAGCTTTGGCTGCGACTAATAGTGAACCCTAGTGTATTAAACAGAACTTCCTCTGGACTAAACACATGTTGACTGTGATGGTTACACAAATTTAATTCTGATTGCTTCTGCTCAACAGTCAGTAATTCCAGATATTTACACTTGATTTCTGGAAGTAAGTCCAAAATATGTGCTTGCCTGCTGAAGTCATTTGTGAACAGAGCTTTAAATATTTTCAGTAGTGTTTCAAAGACATCTTCATCAGAGATAATTTTGTCTTGGGAGCTTTCAGGAACATATCGGAGGGTCCTGTAAATAAAAAAAAAAGTTTCAAAATTACATTTTTCCTTAATAAAATACAGAATAGTCATTTTACAGCAGCAATTTACAGGCACTGTTGTTTCAAACAAACTGAAACTCTAAAGACTGTTATTTCATACCTCTCCTTAATATAAAACCATCACCTGTGTATTTACAGCAAGGCAAGTAGGTTAAACCCCACTGAGGTCTTGGTGATAAACATACCAAAAATCAAATACATGTGGTTATCAAAGTTTATTAACAGATGTATGTATAGTTCGTTACACTTTACACGAGGTGAGGACAAATATGCTGACATGGAAGACCTTCGTTTATGCTACTTATAACAATGTTGTACTCAGTTAAATTCAGGCACTACTTTTAACTTTAAAAAGGGCAAAACGCACCTTAGCGGAAAAAAAAAAAAAAAAAAAAAAAAAAAAAGGAAGAAAATTGTCTAGTTTTAACGTTAAATACCATTTTAAAGTATCCAAAAGTTAGAGTTTTACGGAAGCAAAGGTACACACGAGGCTGAACCACTTCAGCAGAGCAGCCACCTCCCAGAGAAAAACCCGAGCCAGCTCCTGCGGCGCCCCCGGCCACCCCCGAGAAGGCGAAGAGCGGGGTCTCGGTCACGGCAGCTCCTCGCCCCCAGAGAGGGGCTCTCACCCAGCTCCAGCTGCTACCCGAGGACGAAAAACCCGGAGGGGAGCCCGCCAAGCGGCACCGGCCGCCACCCCCTCAGCCCGCCGGCGGGCCCGGCCTCCCCCCAGGCGGCGGTGCCGCTGCGCGGGGGAGCCCAGGCCCTGCCCCTCCGCCTCACCTGCGCTGGCGGCGGAGGTTGAGGGCCAGCCAGGGCACGAAGCGGTACTTGTAGGCGTCCCAGCGCTGCCGCAGCGACTGCAGCATGGCGGCGCCGCTCCCCGTCACGGCCGCCCTCGGCACCGCCCCCTCTCGAGCCGCGCCCACGCAGCCGGCCCAACCAATCACCGCTCCGGATGCGCGGACGTGTTGGCGTACGGAGCTGCCATTGGCTGAGGCTGGGGTCAGTCACCAGCGGGACGCGCCCGCGGGGAGCCGTAGCCTGCCACACCCCACAGCTGAGGGCGGGCGTCAGTGGGGAGAATAATTAGCGTGTATTTTTAAGTAGCAGATGCCAGCTAAATGGCACATGGCTGTGTGCTTAACACACATAAAGGCACAGTTGCCATCCAAACTTTTCAAACCTTTTTTTCTGCTTTTTTTGAAAAGTTAATTTCTAAAGTTACCATTGACATAGGTAATGAAAAAACCCTATATATTTAAATAAAACAAAGTACAAATCATCCCTCAGAACTGACTGACGAGAGGGGGCTTCCTCAGGCTCGCCAGGCCTCTGGGGCACCACCGTGTCACACCTTGGGGAAGGATCCCCAGGAAAAATGGATGGAGTGACCTGTCCCACACGTCCCACAGCTGGGCAGGGAGCAGCCTTCACACAGCGAAGGAGAGGAGGCAGCTCACAAGCAACATGAGAAACTGTTTAATGCAACTGCAGTGTTGTTCATCGATGAAACTGGGCTCGAGAGGAGCTGAGGCTCCCTGTTCCTCCGTGGCTGTCAGCATACGAAGACCACAAATAGGATAGAAGCATGGTATATTTGCACCAGAAAAGGGAGGGCTGGAGTCACTGGAAAAGAAAACTCACATCCCGTGTGTGCATACTTCTGTACGTAAATACATCCAAAAAGGCAAGATCTGATACCAAAAGGAGATTTAAACATTATCTAGAAGCAGTGGTTGAATCCCACCTCCTCGACGATTCTGTATCCTGGAACAATCCCAATCAGATCGCATTTCCAAAATTACCCCGTTCCCACCTCTAGTGACACTGCAGACTGTTAGTGCCTCAGGTGATCCACGTCATAACAGGAGTGGACCAATATCCCAGAGCTGAAACCTGTTACATTTGTCCCCACTTTTGACTAGTATTTGGCCCTGGTGACAAGGAGACATGAGTTGTGCTTTGTAGCACCATAAGCTACTGCAGCATGAAAGGTGCAGCCCACTTACTGGGGTGAGGCAGTCTGCAGCATTTACTACAAACCTAACAAGCAAGACAGAAGGGATGTATTACAAATCATAAGCATTTACGACTCGAGTGCATGTGGAGTGGGGGCATAAGCTCTTTCGGTGTCATATTTACCATCAATTGTCTGTAAAACAAACAAAAAATCTAGTGAAGAAAACAATCGCTCAGCAAATGGATCCTCAAAAAACTAACGCAGGTCCCCAAATAATTCTTTACAAATCATTAAGTTAAGAGATATCAAGCTAAGGGTAATGTTCTTATCTCCTTGGCCACTGTTCTCCCTTCTCTGCTTGGGTACCTACTGTCATAAAACTTACAGCTTTGAATGCTGTTCCTTATCCACAGTTTTAGTTAAAATCTGCCAGTGAAGTCATATGTTACTGGGAAAAAGAGACAGAACATGACAGCATGTATTCTTCCTACTTAGGAAACTAGTTTTAAAAACAATCATGTGGAGCTAGTGTTTGAGAATTTGTTTTGGAGTGAACAGAGAAATCAAACCTCAGACCACTGTCAAGGCTTACACTCCAATGTCTGGACGTGAACTCTTACCAAGAGTTTGGGCTTTTGTGAGTCAGGCCCACCAAAGCAATAAAACAAGCAGAATTAACTTATTGTCTCAGAGTCCTGCAAATGTTTATAAAATGCCCCTTGATTTACTCCATATTCACTTTAATTCTATTGTTGGCCTTGCACATCTCTTCTGAGAACAGGAACTGAGTGATGATACGTTGCAATCTGAAATAATTGAGGGAAATAAAAGGAATTCACACAGCGACCACCTCAAAATGCTTTCCTGCCATCTTCTGGACTTTCTTTGCAATGACAGGGAAGAGAGATCTCCATTTGCAACTTAAATTCTGTATTTCAGAAGCTGCGTGCCGTAACAAGAAAACAACATGCACGTTTGCCACAGTATATGCACGTTGTGGCTCTTAAAAGCAAGACTCTCACATTCGTGACTCAGCTGGGCAAGGAAGACTAAGCAATGAGAGAAAGTGAGTAAGGGAAATACAGTGTCAGAGTGGGCAGTCAGGTTGGAACAGCCACACGTAGAAATTGCCCACTCAGATGATGAAGAGGAAGAACGTGATCCATGTGACACTCCAACATGTTCTGGAAGCAATCGTTACCTTTCAGTGAGAACTTGAAAAGATGAAACACTGCCAGACTTCAACCTATGACCACCACATAGCACGCTGAATGTAACATCATTCCCACCAGAGAAATCAAAATGGGCTTAGCTCACGATTTGCCTGCAGAAGAACTGAACATGCCCTTTGGAAATGAAGACATTTGGTTCTGTAAGCAGGGTGTCTTTGACATCTACTGCCAACTGCTGGGGACAGGTGGTCTCTGCCATCCCTGGTTCCTAAAAAGGAGACTGCAACATTACAAATACCACACAGTAGTGTCAGATTCAGGAGTTGTATGGTGAATCAAATAAAGATAGATGCATTGCACTCAATTTATCTTTTATTTAATCCTCGGCATATATTTTCCGTCTTGATATTTCAGTTAGTACATTTTTCTGATTTTAAAAAATCAGGCATTAGAGTTTATCTGAAGATTTCTGCTGACAATTTTTGCTGGTGAATTGCTATATTCATCTCTATTTCCAGAAAGCTACATAAGTAATGGAGACTATAAAAAGAGTGATCCTCCAAAATGTAGAATTTAGTAGTCACAAAAAAGGCTACAGAACACAAACTTATTTTTCAACTATAAAAAAATGGATTCATTTCAAAAATATCAAAAAATCAGGAGAACGACAAGCAACTGAAACAAGCCCTAGCTTTGCAAAACACATTCAGGTTGCCTGAATAAGTTAAGGATTATGTTTGCTGCTTAAATCACAAGCAACAGAATCATTTCACTAAAAACATAAAATAGCAGATTAATTTCCAAGACATACCTCAATGGCTCCAGAACTGATTTAATGAAATCAAGTCACCTGACTGAGCAATTAAGTTACCTTTGCAGTAATGCAAGATTTAAACGTTTAATGTTTGATTGAAAGGCATAAGCAAGTAAGGTTCATAGATACAACACTGTTGTAAGGGAAGTTCCTACCTTTATTATTGATTAAAAAAACCAATTTAGCGTTTGTTGCTGCCCTTTATCTAAGCATTCTTTATTGATACACTTAAGATATATCAGCCTATACCCATTCATAGTGTCATTTAATATTAGAATCTAAGTCTTGATATATCAGATATGGCATATGAAATTCTGTATAAGCAGTGAAGTGCACCAGAAATATTTTATTCACATCAGTAAACGGGAAGTGTTTACATTGTAATGAGCAAAGGACAAAATTTGTTCAAAAACTTTTATTTACTATAAAGACAAAACCCACCAAAATAGGTACAAATTATACTATATAAAATTGGTTCAATGGGGTAAAAACTTTTAATTAAAATATCTTGATATATTTAAAATAACAAAGGATACAATGAAGCCAAATTTCTTAACCCAGAGATTTCTGTAAAATTTGTTTGCACAGTAAGGTGCTAATAGAAGTTAGCCCTTAAGCCCTGGAAGTCTTAGGAATCAGTCACATAGCAAATATAATTTCATTGTGAAAGTGAACTTTGGTAGAAGAAACTCTATAGGACACCTGAGGTAGTAGAAACTGGAATAAACAGCAGTAGACGTTATTTACAACTTAAGTACCAAATAACATTAAGGACACAAAAAAATAATTACACAATACAATTTTCAGTCCAGCTTTGATCCAAAGAAAATAAGAATATTACATCACATCTGCATTTTAAAAACACCACAATTACCAGCAAGCTGAGGGACACGCAAACAAACTCAGACAAATGCATTTGGACACCTAGAGGCAGTTTAAGTTTGAAATGTGGTAGGCATGGTGATCTACAAAGTAATACTGATTAGCTGAGGTTCATCAGTTTATACAGTTTACATTTCTGCCAGAAACAGTATTAATCTGACAACTGATCTTCCAGTACATGAATTGGCAAGAGTGCATCCTTTAAAGCTTGCACATAAAAAAGACTTGGAAACAATCTTATTAGAATGAGAAATTCTAAAGTGGTAAAAAAAAAAAAAAAGTCAAGTACAAAACAGTTAGAGCTACCAAACTTCACATTTCAGTATTATCTTTTTAACTCTTCAAAGTCTGCCAATCTTCAAAACAAAGGAATGTAAAATTTCCAAAAGAAAAACATTCACAACTAATGACACTGCTGTTTTTTATTAGTATGAGCACTATCATTCCTGTAAACTTATCTTTAAGATGTTTTACTTCCAATTTTTATCGTACATTTTTAATGTACTATAGCTTATTTAGTTTGTCCTGAGTCTTTGAAAATAACCAATTCTATTTCAGTCCAACAATCCAACTGGCTTCTGAAGAGTTAAAACATAAACAGTATTTTTTTTCCAAATGGATTAAACACAATCAGTATTTTATTTAAAAAGATCCCCATATTTAAAAAAGCAAAAGAAAAGCTGCCATTTTCCTTCAGAATTACATGCATCAGAATCTAAAAACCTGCCTTTAAAATAACTTTAAAAACCTCTTTTTTAAAAAAACACACCTGCTAAAAAACACAAGTCTTGCACTACAGGTGAAGCTTTACTTCACATTTTACTTTATCTTGCTTTTCAAGTCCAAGTTTGTTTCTTGTTAAAATAAATACCTTTCTTATGGTAATATTTTTAACATTTTCAGATTAAATTATCACTAATGGCTACAGTAAATAGATGATGTACGGCAGAAGGAAAACAGCAGGTAAAACTCATTATCAGTAGAGAACGTGACCTCAGTTCTTGTTACACAAAGAATGAGACTTGCTTGTAGATAGCACCCACTCCCACTGACGTACAGAACAAAGTCTCCCATAAACTTTAATGGGAGCTGGGTTTGGGGCTTGTGACAAGAAACTTCTCTACACAACTTCCCAGAAGAAACTGCTATATGAAAAGAAGGCTCAACAACTTTTAGCATGATTCAGGCTAAGTTGTTTTATGCAGAACAACTTTGTTTCTTCTGTTTCGTTTTTAAAAAATAACCTATAGTATCAGAGCCTTCAACATCGCCTTATTGCAGATGGAATTTTTTTTCCAGATTTCCAGCAAATCTGTTTTTAAAACTCTTGTGTCAGCAAGATGTTTCATGACACAGCTTGCATCTTTTTCTAAAGACTATTTTTAAAAGATCACCTTTCCCTGAAAGTTAAAAATACAATGAAAACAAACTTCCATTTCAAAAGAAATTACATGGCCAGCAGTAAATGTATGGTGAACCACAACTGCCTGCTCTTAACTTTAAGGAAGGCTAAATGCTTTGTTTTGGTTTGGTTTTTTTTTTTTGTTTGTTTTTTGTTTTTCTTTTTTCTATTTTTTTTTTTTTTAAGTATCCATCAGTGTTTTTACTCATTTGTTACTCAGAGACCTTTGTGAAATTAAAAGGGACAGATACAGAACTGTCAGTGCTGAACAGTGCTGAAAATTGACTGATTGGAGAACCCTCTGCTTAAATCTACATGATGTCAAATGGAACAGTGATTGCTGTATTAAAATAGATCCTGAGCCCCTCAGCTGCTAATATTGCTGAAAAAGTGCTCCAAATAAAATAAAAATCACTTATCTGCTAAATAATCATGCAGATTTAAGGAAAAATGCTTTTGTGTTCACATAGAGCCAAATGTCTGAAAAGGCACAGTTTACAAATCTCTGCACAAGTTGTGAAATGTTGCATACTGAGCTTAGGTAAAGATTTCGATTTGTCAATCACATACTTGGGTAGGGTCCTCCACTGGCCTTAAGTTCTTGATGTATCTATTGTTAAGGCCAGCAGAATAATATAATTTGCTGTGCTTAACTGCACTGCAAGAGAGATATTGTATATTCAGTAGCATCTTCTTCAGTATAACAGCCTTATTCATAAGTAGCTACCATGTAGTACGGAAGACCGGGTGTTTCAGCAGCTCCCTTGATGGGGGTCTGTCCTGAGGTTGAAGTTCTAAACACCGAAGAGTCACATCTTTCAAGCCAGGAGACAGATGTGTAGGGATTGATGGAGCAGTAGTTGCACTAGCAATCTGAACAAAAGGAAAATAACTTTTTAGAAGTCAGTGATTCTTAAGGTCCCTCTCCTACCCCAAAAAACTTCCACAAGCTGATCATTTTCAGCTGAAGACTTGTGTTTATGGGCTTTTCTCCACTTAACATATTTCCTCCGGCAGTTTGAAGATTACATTATTGCTTCCATTTTATAAAATGGGTCTTACGTTGCCCTTCTGCCTTTCAGTCAGCTTCCCTCCTTGCACTTTTCTCTAACTTTTCTTCTTACAGCAAGATTCTTCTCTGACCATCTGCTGAGTGGACCATAAGAAAAGCTCTTACGTCATACATACAGGTATCCTTTAGTCTACTAGTTGCCATCACTGTTAACTGGCATAAGCCAACATGGAAATATATTAAGCTGAGCAATGTTACATTATGATAAGTTAAGCTGGGTATGCTCTCTTGCACCGCCTTTACTGTATTTCTGCTACCATCCCAAAGGGCAATCTTCTTCAGATAGACACAGATCACTCCCAACTGAATTAGTTTTTATCTTGTCTTGACAAGATGACTGAGAAAATTAGAGTGACACCCCCAGGCTCACAGAGACACAGAACCAAGACAATTACATCTCTTATCACACATGATTTGTACTTAATTAGAACATATTTTAATACTGCTGTGCTACTTCTGTTTTGTGGAAACTTTCTTCACTCTTGCTAGTGAAAATGCCAATAATCACTCTCTTCACTTGTGGCAGTATTTTCTTCTTTCATGCCTAAAGTTCAGCTAGACTTTTAATATTAAATATACCTGATTGATTTTAGTAAGAAACACGAATGCTAAAGTGGATGACCTAGAAAAGTGGGGGCAATATTCATATGAAGCATGGCATAATGGTAAATACCTTTCAGCAAAATCTGAACATGGAACATCAGGTTTTACCAAAGAACATTCCCCACTATGAAATACGAATACACACATAAATGTTTTATGTTAGAAAAACTTCTTTTGCTCCTGTATTTTACAGGATTGTAAGAAAGAGTTCAAAACCCAATCTTCTGCCTAGAGTCAAGTTCAACTCTGTTCCCCAATTTTTTTTTCAGCCTGTTACACTATGCATTTATATCTTAGAACAGAGCTTCTTCTGCATATTATTGCAGCAGACTTTTTTTTTTTTCTGAACAAACAAGTATGATTATATTGGTATCAGTACTGATTTTGTACTAACAGCTCCAATATAAAGAAGAGCTACTGCAACAACCCCTACTACCTGTATACTTCTCTAAAATTCACATTGCTGTATGTGAAATTAGTCAGTGTCTTGTAGCATATTAGTAGCAATAAAATACCTCACCTTGAATATCAGAGCAAGATGATTGGAGTGTTTCTCTGCATTCCAGGGAGGTTTAGCACAGGCCATTTCTATAACAACACAGCCAACGCTCCACACATCACAGCTCCTACCATATTGCTGACCTCTCAGAACCTGAACAGACAGACCAGAGCTCAGATTATCTGCTTCAAAGTCTCGTAACTAAGTAATTTAGATGCTGAAAAAAATATCATCAGCAAGTGCATTCTGATTAACATTTCAGGTTGAGTGATTGGTGATGTAAATGCCATCAAATTTATACAGCTGTAGAGAGCTAGTAAATGAAATGCCTGATCAAGGTGCAAAGCTTTTGACCAAATGGTTATTTGGGCTTCAGTAACAATACCTTTGATAGATATATCTTGTCACAAACTACTTAAGACAACTTAGGCAGCAAGAAAGAAATGTCATGATTGCCATGTTGGAATCATTCCTATTCTTCAGAATACGTATATTTAAAACATATTTGAAGCAGTTACAACAATTTTCGGTAATTTGGTTGTATGAATTAGCTTAAAGAGTTCAAACATTTTGAAATGACTTCCAAAACTGTTTTCTTACCTCTGGTGCCATAAATGCAATAGTTCCCAACAACTGTCCCTGAAACTCTCCAGCACCAGTTCCTTTTGATGCCAACCTGGCTGCAGCTCCAAAATCAGCAATTCTTAATCTATGACCTGTGCTGTCAATTAGCAAATTGGCACCTGTCAACAGCATAATAAAAACACTGCTAGTTGGCTTTCTATTAAAGGCAAAAGGATGAAGACACTCTTACTCCCTGTATTTCAAAGCTATAAATAGGTTGATGTTCCCCACCCCCAGTATCAAGGAAATCTAAAAGTCAAGGACAAAGTCTAATAATGCCACTTTTCTGTTATGCCTGAATGGTACTGCACACAGCTTGAGGCTGGCTGAGAGGTTTAGAGAAGCAATCGAACTTTCAAAGTAGGGCAAACGCAGGATTCTGGAACAATGCCTGGAGATGGAATAACGAAAGAAAATGGTGACTTAAAACACTGGAGGTTTCCACTGCCTGCAGCTCCCTGTAAAATTTAAACTTACTTCATCCCTAGCAACTTTGAGTTGTTCTAAAGAGAATTACAGAGCAACTGAGTTTTCCTATTTTAAGAGGAAATATTAAAGACAAGTATTTGCCATCACTATGTTGCTACTTATCTGGGTATCTCTCCAGTTCATGGACAGCTATAGTGACGTTAAAACATTTAGTAAGACTGCTATTTCCCAATGAAGTCCACATTTTGCTCAAACACCTTACAACTGTATTTATGTTCAATTAAGATGAAGAAAAAGAAAACTCATCACAATACTCCTATACATTAGAAACCTGACCTGTTTATCTTGTCTTGGGCACAGATGTTGCTATCATTTCAGTGTGAACATTTATGTTAATTTAACTAGCAATCTTTAAAGCTATATGTCAACATCATATTTTATTTGAACAAATTGAGAAAACCAATTTCTCTAAACTATCGACACCGGTAGCAAATATCTCCAAGCATGCTATGAACGTTTTGATTAATTTCAGTAATTAAAGGTTCTTAAGAGTGGTCAGACAAACACACTAGAAACACCACTCCTGAGATGGTATGTGAGAGAAACAATAGGTCTCAAATCAAAACAGATGCTGTTTTCTGATTATATCTTTTAAAAAGACATTATAAGTAATTCTCACCTTTAACATCTCTATGGATTATCTGATTCTCATGGAGGTAAGAAAGGCCACGTAACAGTTGTTCTGTGTAATTAACAATAACCGATTCTTTGAAGGCTCCATATTTACTTAATAAATGAGCAACCGAACCCCCTAGAAGATAAAACCCCACATTTTATCAACACTTATATTTTGTATTAGTAGAATGCAGCACTGCCTCCTAAAATTGGAATTTGGTATTCCCAATTTATAACTAGATTTCTTACTACCCTGCCAGCCCCCCCAACCCCCCCCCCCCCAAAAAAAAAAACAAAACAACCCAACAACCCCCCCCAAAACATTGTAAGTTTCATAGGCAAAAAATAATATACTTGGTTACTTAATTACTTTCTACCTGGAACCGTACACATTAAAGACATAAATCTTCATGCTTCCAAATAATTTTATACTTCCTTAAAAGAACTTACAAATCCCTTAGTGTACAAAGGACTGTTGCTGATAAAAAACTACACATTTACCCACATTTTGCATTAACACTTAAGCAGCAGAACACTAGCTTTCTTTGTAGCAGTAGATATGCACAGCCTCCAGTAAGTGTTCTCTCTGAGGATCTTAATTTACTTTTGTTACCATCTAACTACCAATATACAGAAGGACGTAGACAAGCAGGGAAAAACAATATCTTCCTCTATTTTCCAAAACTAGTATACAAATCCTCAAGATTTGGATTTCCATGCTGTCTCTTAAAGTATTCTAATATAACTTGGGCTTGAATGAGGTAAAGACAATTCCTGACATTTCATTATCTAAATAATACTATTTCAGGAAAATTGTACTTAAAAAAAGTTAAATAACCTTAGTTTTGAAAAAATATTTTCTGCACTACTGCTTGTAATAACACATATTTGGGCTTTGCTTGTTAGCTCTCTGGTATTGCTAAGTGGTTTCTGCCAAGTAATGTAAGTTAAGGTGCAATGCTGCTTTCTTTTATAAGACATAAGGATGTATAAAACACCAAATCTAGTCTTGGTAACTGGAAGGCAAAAAAACATATCACCAAATTAAAAAGGATATACTTTCTTGTCCTTCCTCTATACAATAATGAAAGGATTTCACTATTTGTGATGAACTTACCACTTAATATATTTGAGATTTTAATATATTTTTCCTGAAGCATCCTGCTTACTACCTATTATTAGAAATTTACTTGAAGTTCTTAAATGCCTTTGCATGTCATCTTACACATTTTTTATGAAAATGCTTGGGACAAAACCAAGTGACAGGTATTCCAAACTTTCTAGCAAAGTTAATTTCAATAGTATCTTAAAAAGTTACACAGGTACACTGAAAATGCAAGTTTGATGTATTTCCAACTGATGTGTCTGTCTCTCAAAGTTTCTAACTCCTTGTTTAAATTCAGAAATTGAAGGAAAAGTAGTAGAATTTTTGTTCAGGGCTTCCAACTGCTTTAACTGTATAACAGTTATGGAAAATTCTAAGTCAAAAAAATGATGCGGCAGTAAGAATATTGCTACAAACAAACTTTTTCAAGTAGACCTTTATACTGGTTACCAACAGCAAATACAAATTTGCAAACTGAAGTGATGCAAAATGCAGTGTTGAAACTATATAATTCAAGACTCAACCCATATTTGAATTTTCTTTGGCACAGTAGTTGTTTACCTGCCATCCATTCAATAAAGAGGTTATAGTTGCTCTTCTCACATGTAGCACCCAGCATTCGAATAATGTTAGGATGATTCAGATGACTCATCATCCTTATTTCTTCTCTCAGTGCTTCAACTACCTCTTCTTGCTCCGATGATGTGTTCCTGACATATGTCACCTGTTTTGAAATATGGTATTCGGTACAGTAACAAGAATGGATGGTTTTCCATCCCTTTTCACCATCAGGAAATAGCAAGTATTCTTTTATCTCAAGTCCCTTCAGCTGAGAAAGTATCTCCAGGTGAGGCAGTCATAGAAAACTAAGAGTGATCTTCTGGGGAAATACCAACAAAAATATCTCCAGGTATGGGGAGGAAACTTCCCTCTTCACTCTCATATGCTTAAACTATGATTTTTTTTTTTTTTTTTTAGATGTTGAAGAAAAGGAAGAAAGATAAGCCTGAAATGTGTTTCTGACATTGTTATTTGTAAGATTTTTACCATTTAACCATACTACCCGCTTCATAACTAAGCCTCTTATCACAGAAATTCGACTGGGGGTGGGGGAAGCAGATTAGAAGTTTTGTAATGGAACTGGAGCCAACCCCAGCTCTGATTCATACTAAATCTGAAATAATGGTATAGTGCAGAGAATTTCTTCATGGCATCATCATCATCTCTCCAGAAGGAGCCTCAAGGGCTACATAGACAGTCCTAGTCTTTAACAAGCAAGAGAGTTTCAAAGGAGAAATAGCTGATGACAGATATTCTTTCCCTGATTAAATGTTTTGAAATTGCTCAATTCCATAGGTATAAGTTCATTCTAGAATTAATAAGAAAATGTTAGGACTAAGATTCCTTCTATATTGGTATCACTGATTTAGACCTAGGGCACCTTAAGTGTGAAAGATTTACTCACATCTAGAACCTTCAAAAATCTTGAGTGAAGCATGTGCATTTGAGCCTCTCTTCTTAGTCACATTTCTGTATCTATTAATTTAAATATTAAAAATACTCCCCTCAAAGTTGTGTGTTGGATCTGAGGAAACAAACATCAAACTACATTTCTTCCACTTAGGAAGGAAAAAGTCTTCACAAGACAGGGAACTACTTTTAATAGCTACCTTGCAAATAAGGCATTAATTTCGAATCAAGAGATCTGGGCTCCATTCCTAACTCTGTCACTGATTTAAGAACTTAATAAAAGCAGAAATGCGTTTGAAGAACTATGACAGAAAATGGGCAAATAAAAAAGTAAAGATTTTTTTTGTTGTTTTTTTTAAAGAGAAGTGAAAAAACCTCAAAATACTATGTTGATACCATGCACATAAAGACTTTTTATTATGTATTGTGTGAGAACATATGACATGGAGCAGAAGAAGCAAGGCAAGACATCAGTGAGATAAGAGAGCTTTTACATTTAATACTCCAAAGAAATACTAAACAAGCAGCACAATATATTCAACAAAGTGAAGTATTTGAAGTATTTACCTGTTTTACAGCCATTAAAGTCCCTGTTCCTACATCTTGAGCTTGGTAACAGGAAGAGAAAGCTCCAAGACCAATTTGCTGACCTTTAAGCCATTCCGCATCTTCTCTGTAATGGTGTTTTGCTTTGGTATGTCCAGGCAGGGTTTCTGGTGTCTGCAAATTAAATTCCAAATAAATTCCACAATTACCAGCATGCACCTAAACTGTAGGCATTCTGGACGGTTACAAAATATCCAAGCTTCTATGACTCTCCTCTCCCTTACAGTTACTTGTACTGCATGTTATACATGTTTCAGCTGAGACCAGAACACCAGTGTATTCTGTAATTCACATACTCCTATTGTATGTAAGAACAGAGAATCTCCTCTCTGTTCCTACCTGAAGGTGAAAGGCAAGATTTAAGGACACAAATAGGAGCAAGACTTTTTTCCTGTTCCTGATCTCACATCTAGGTAAGGTTCTAGTTAGCACCTACAGTAAGCACAACCAAAATCATGTGTTCTTTACTTAATTAATTTTCTCCCATTTTGTGCTTCACATGTTGTTACCTCATGCAAAGGATCACAAATAAAATACTTTCTCTATTTCTTGTACTTTTGTCTATTTGCAAACAAATATCTTTTTTCTGACTTCTAAAGTATCTTGCATCTTATCTCTCAAGATGTGACAACAAGATCTCTTCCAACTCTGACTTTCCTTTCAGAAGCTACTTTGGTTTCGTACAATTGCCTTCAAAGTAAATCAGCATGAAGACCCAGTACAGTTCTACTCCTGCTTAAAAACTCTGTTCTCATTTGCCAGTTTCCCCACTTTTACACTTCCTTCTTTACCATTTTAGAGGTTGGTATACGACATGACGTTTCTGTTCCAAATACCTTCTCTAAACTTGTTAATAACCATGGAAGGATTCTGTTAGCACCTCAACTGGCTGACTGTTTATACTCCAACTCCTAGGAGAGGGTACTGAGTACCTTTGTGTTTTATGTAACTTTGGAAACATAATGGGACTACTTTGTAAGTTCAGTGAAGCTCAACTGAGACTTATGCTAAATTCCCCTATGTATACTTACGTCCTGCTGAATGATTATGATATCTTCACCATTTTCAACCTGTAGTTGAGGAATTATTGGCAGGGCATCTTGAGATGCTGACATTGCCATAGCAATAGCTAAAGCTTCCTCCTCTTCAGCTTCCATCTTTTCCTTGCATTTTTGATTATGATTTACATCATCTTTGTAAGTATCATCATTTTCTGCCCGCTCAGGAGAAAGCACTGCAACCTCAGACTTGAATGTAACTGTGCCATCACTCGTTGGCATGGAGGCCTCGAGTAGGTCCTCAATACTGGAATTGAGCTCTGCATTAACATCCAATCGACATTTTTCATCTACTGGTGTGAACACTGTCTCTTCACTTGGTATAACTGCACTGCTACTACTACTACTATTGCCATCACACTGTGAGATATCATTCAGGTCAAGCGTCATACTGTTTTTTAAGGTTTCTCCCTGCTTGTTCACATCACTTGGGGTGGGTCGTGATGGCTTTGGCCTGTGTATGTGACTGGATGGCAATGGCCTGGCTTGGGTAAAAAGTGGAGAAAGTTTCTCTGGTTCTTTATTTTCAGAACAGTTTCTCTGAAACTGGAGAGAAAGTTTCCGCTGTGTTTGAGGAGAGGGTGAGGGGATTTTGCAGGGAATGAATCCCTGAGGTCTGAGTTTAGAGACATCTGTTACAGTGCCAGCTGGTACAGATGGGTTTGAAGGAGACAGAAGCGTCGGGAATAGTGACTGGGAATGACTGGATGAGGGAGAAGAGTTCAAACACTGACTGTGGGGTTTTCCTTTTGTTTGAATGGCTGGCTTTGGTTGCTCAGTGGTTACTAATGAAACAGGAAGTCCCACAACAAGGCCATCTAGAGTCTCAGATATGTCTTCTGGACTGGCACTCAGTTTTTTATCACTTAAGCCTTTCCCACTTTTCCCTGACAACTGGACAGTATTGTTAGGAGTATTATTTTCTGTAGCTTCTGGAGAGTTATCCGGTACAGGTAGCTGCAGAAAGTCTTCATGCTGACATTCCCCCGAGTGCATTTCTTCCATGCCTAGCTGGATAGCTTCTGCAATTTCCATTTCATCTGCTATTGCCATCAGACGTCGACGCATCCTTGCATAATGAGTTGAACTCGTCACACTCAACATTTCTAAGAGCTTTACAAAAACATGGGGCACTCTTGCCACCATTCTTGCTGCACTCAAAAATACTCTCCGTGATAGTTTACCAACCATTGAGTGGGAATTGTCAATGGACTGCAAGGCGAAAGTTAAGAGGGAGAGAAGTTTCTTATACCTAAAAAAAGAAAAGAGGTGTTTTATACACTGATATGCTCTAGTTAACTAGTGACAAGAAAGCCACTTCAAGATAATGTATTTAGCTGTCAGTTCTGCAGTAGAAAGGAGACTTATTGCCTCACCGGTGCTTCAAAATTCATTCACAGGTCAGAAGTTTTAAAAATAGGCAACAATTTAATCTGTAAAGTAAGCACACTTTTGCATATAAATATACACTATTTCTTTACAGGAATCTGAACAAGTATTTTTTTGAAGAAATCACCAACAACACATTCAACTACCAACAATAAGTGTCACACAGAGTAAGCAAGTACCTGTCCACTACAGTATCAGCCTGTAAAACATCTCCACAGACAATGTGAGGATAAAATTCACCAGGAAATTCCAACAGAAGTCTGTCTATTAGACAAAGTCGCCCCAGTAGCGCTTGCCAGTTGCTAGATTCAGTTTGTGTTCCAAGAATACAATTTAAGACATAATCAACACCACCAATACCAATGGACCCTGTAAAAAAAGTTGATAAAGTAAGGATTAGATATGTTCACAATCTAAATTCTGATCTAAATGAGGATCAGTACTGTATCATGCAGAAATACACATTGTGTGTCCAAATTACCCTCCTCCCAAACTGCTGAGAGAAATACTGTTCTCTTTGACATGCTGATACTGGATAAACCCTCTATTGAATTTAAACCACTTCAGTATATTTGCTTGTAATTATAATTCCATTATACATGAAGAGCTATTATTACCAGATTTAAGTATTTCTCTCCCAATTGCCAGCTCGCCCGCTTGGCCTTTACACATCTCCAGTAGCGTTGAGACTGAAAGTTGACTTGTTCGACTATAAGAAATTAAAACCAAAAAATAACTCTTTCGGCAGATGATTTCAAGGAAAAACATTCTGATCATTATATTTCAATAATCATTAGCTTGGAATTGTGCATGGAAAATTACTTCACATCACTTTATTCCAATACATTTCTACAATCCTCTATCTGTAAGCTACCAATAGTTGTAATATTTTTTACAATACCTCCAGAAATGTAATGTCTATCACTAATAAATAAACAAAAACCCAAATAGGACCTCATCCTCTTGCAAAAACAGCCCAAATCCAGGAATCCAGCAACACAAGGAACAGTTCTATTTCACTTATTCCTTTAACTTTAGATATTTTATTGCTAGACTATTGCCAGGGCATCTCTAGCTGCAGTTTCAGAAGAAATACTGCTTATGAACTAAAACTAAAGAGACCAAATTCCGTTTACAGTAGTTCACAGTACAGGTGAAGAAATGGTTGGTCTGGCACAATAAATAGAATAGCTTGGGACTGGAAGACAAGGCCTAGACAAGCCAGAAATGCTAAGGGCATTCACTCAGAATAGTCATCTCCTAACATTACACTGTGAAATAAAAAGTGGAAGTGCTATGCTAAGACTTCATGGCACAGATGTACAACAGCTTTTGATGAAGTATGAAACATACATGACTGGTACTTGCTGACTTCTTAAAGGTGAGTCATGAGGATTAAACCAAAGCAATATCAACTGAGATGGAGGGGATGGTTGATGATTGCACCTAACATCTTCCTTTATGTTAAGGGGGAAAAAAGGACTTATGGAAGCCAAGTATCGTTGAAGATCTCTAAGGCACAATCAGGTGCCTTCAAAACCTAAATCTTTCAAGCCAGAAGTCTGTCAGTAGCAACTAGACTTTAACAAAAACATGATACATTTATACTTAGGATCCACACATTTTATTTCACTACCAACTACGAATGGTCTCCTAATTCCACATAAATAGCAACAAATGAAGCTTCAAGACATTTCAGTAATAATCCAAAATGAATTTGAAGTTCATGAGAAACCATACCTGTTGGCATCTGCACATTTAACTAATATTGTCTCTACAACTGGCTTGAGAAGTCGCTGTAGTTTAGTCCTCTCTGCTAAAGTATGACAGGGAGTATATACCAGCATGGCTCTTAAAGTTTTCTAAAAGAAAGGAAAAAAACAATACATATGAAATCAAATTAGTTACTCAATTTAATTTTTTTTTTAAGTTGCAAATATTTTTATATAAATTGGGTTCAAAATACCAATGAAACGTTCAAAGGATAAACAGCTTACTATATATTCACTCTTAGAATTTGTCGTGTATTCTTTGAGATTGGAAAGAACCTAGTCATACAAGTACTGTTGATACGTAGCATTGTAGCAAACATTTCTTTATATTTGGCCAGTGGATTCATGCCATTTCACTCTTGCTGAGGATTTTGTTCATCCCGCTTTCAGATGATGGTTAGAAGTTAAGTCATCAGTGGGGCTCAACAACAATTACTAGGATTCCTGTGTTCATGTATCTCCTCCCTTCTCCTCCCCTTCAAAAATGAAGTAATTTCAAAATTACTAGAATACAATGAGTAAACAACTACTTACTAAAGCAGCAACATACACTTTGTAGACAGGGTCAGCACAGACCATGGACAGCACACTGCAGCAGGATTCCACCACCACATCTCCTGAGATACTGGTCTGAGATGACCCACTAGCTGCTCCCAGAGCTCCAGCACTTGTGTTGTTTCCACTGCTGCTTCCAGAATTTCCAGTGCTTTCACCATTAGCCAGTAATAGAGCACCACTAACATCATGGGAAAGACGCCTAAGTGCCATCTCTCGTATATTCCAGTTTCGAGAAAACAAGCAGCCAACTAACTCCATTCCAAACACCTGCCAAGGAAAATGAATGTCACAGGAGTCAAACAGAATAATACTGCAACTTAAGTACCTAAGAATAGCAATCAAAAAGAGCAAAGAAATGTTTCTGGTGAAAAATTGCCTTAAGAAGTCTGACAGCAAAAATGTATCAGAAGGTACAGTGTATAAAAAAAGATTCTGTGATAGAAATGAAACGTCATAAATGATACATCACTGGTTCTCCAAATATTCTGTCAAGAGAAGCCGGAGGGTGCCTGTACGGATGGTTTCAGTCACTTTGAATTATTCAGTATGGGCTTTGTTTCTAGACATTGATATATAAACAGCCCTGAAACCAAGGTCCAGCTGTATTAGACAAAAATTACAGCAGAAATGTAATACAAGCTCTCCGACTTCTAAGTGTGTGACCCCTGCTCAGTCAAACCCACCTCTAGACTCTAGAGGTTTAGGTCATTTGGCTCCTGAAACACAACTTGGGTAACAGTAAGTGGCAACTTTGTATTCATGTGACACTTGCACAACCAAAACCAGAGTTAAGAATACTACATTTTGTTACACAGACCTTTAAAATGAGGTGTGAGATGAAAGCCACAACTGAAACCCCAGTTAAAATAAGACTGAAAAATATTCTCTTCTGATGCAAGTTAAAGATTTTTTTTTCCAGTAATAACCATAAAGCTGATGGGATTCAGAATAAATTTTTGAATTGTAGATCTGAAAAATCTAGCAAACCAGTTCAAAATTGGTTGTTACATTTGAAGCTTCTTTTACGAAGTAAAATTACCTGAATCCATGGCTCAGCTAAATCTTTATAGGCAGAAGGGATCTGCTGGACTCCATAATGAGTAAGGTTAAAATTGCTATCCTGGGTTCTTCTCTGTGATCCAGCTGTAGATTGTTGCTGAGTTTGCTGCTGAACCACACGGAGAACAGAAGAATCCACAGGGCTTGGCAATTCATGACTACAGTTCAACAACAAATGACGTGGATTAAAAAATGGAACATTTATTGACGTCAATATTTCAGCATATTTAGGAACATCAGCCTAGGATACAGAAACAGGTAGTTTGTTATACACAGACTGAATTCTTACCTATAGAAATCATGAGATCTCCATTTAGACCTACAAAGAGGACAGATAAGTGGCTCTCTGTTTCTTCTGCATTCTTCTGCCCCTGGAACACAGCAACAGGATTACATGTACTTCAGTTTTAGTGTATAAAACCAGCAGATGGCATTACTATTTCTAAGTCTCACTGAAAAATGTTAGTTTCAGGCTAAACGCTTCTGAACTGAGCCATTTATCAGGAGCCTGATAAATACGGGCTAAATATTTATAAATATGGGATAAATTTCTGCACATTTTTTGCGTGCAGAAATGCTTCAGTTTAGCACTACAATTCATATTAAAAGTTATGAACTGAAATGCAGTTCATTTGTACTTCAAACATAGGCAATACTTTTGAAAAAGTATTAAAAACATTGGTGATGCAATTTTATTTGTTAAAGCAAGCTGTAACTGTTTATATATTTTAATGTAGCATGTAAGCATACTCCATAATTCACAACAAACCTAGTTGACAGTAGATGACTTTCAGGCATTCTAATGACAAGCCACAAGGGGCTAAAAGTCTGTTCCTAACCTTGCTCAAATTGGACATAATCTTTTTAGTCAGGTAAAAGAGGCTCAAAACTCTAGCTCTGTGGATAACTTCTTTCTCAAAGCATCAAGTTACAAACTTGATATGTGAATAACTGATAAAATAAGGCATATCAATAGTACCCAAGTAATACCAAATTCTCATGAGGAGTTACCAGACATCACTTAAGAGCAGGTTTCTGGTTTTTTACTTACAAAAAAAACCCCCAAACAAACAAACAAACAAACAAAAAAAATCAAACAAGAACACCACTTAAATGTAGAAGTTATAATACTTTTGCATATTTAGAGTCACCAGAACTTGACAAAGATGACAACATACATATTGACATGCAGTGGTGGTGTAATTTGTTCCTGCAACCATCTTCACACACAGTTAGGCTCTCTTCATCCAGCATGCCTAACAAACAAATGGGGCACATCTGTTCTTCTTCATCCTTCATACTATAAAAAAAGATATTTGTGATTGTAAAAGTGCCATATCAGAACTCAGAACAGGCTTTAACAGTGAAAAAAGATTAACTTCCAGTTTGGACTGGGCACTTCTGAATAACTATAGGCTATTCATGAATCATTCTCCTAAACCTTGGTCTGAATAAGTAAGCAACGAAATTTTTAGAAGCACTGAATACAGAAAACACTTTGTTGAAATGAAAGGGAAAATCATAAAACACATGACATATTTTCAAACTAGGTCAGATACCAATTAGAGATTGAAAGGCCCAGCTTTGGGCACTTACATTGTTATCCCCTAAGGCTTCTTTAAACAAACCAACCTTTGCTTTTGTACTTGTAATTTGGTTTTGAAAAACTAAGACATTTTTATATTTTGAAAGCTACCCATATTTTTTTTTTTTTCATCACACTCCTCTCAGAGTATTGAGTCACAGGGTAGTCTTTAGTCCATTATAGGAAATTGTAGATACTATTTGATGAACATACATTGAACTCAAAAAATTAACAGAAGATAACAGCCACTCAAGAATTTTCTGCCACTAACAGAAACAGATGCAACAGATTAACATGAACACTAACGTATCTGTATGTCACATGTAGATTTTTAAAGTCATTTTACCTGTTCTACATGTTGCTTCCATTTTATTTACCCCCACCTTAATTTTAAAACGGATACAGCCAGAGATTTTGACAGAAAACCTATTCTGAACTTAAACAACATGTAGTGAAAACCACAGATTTTAATCTTCTGTAATATTATTTAAATGAACAAAACTCCTACTATTCATAGCAAAAATTTATGTTACAGTTGCTGTGTCTAAAAGTTTGTAGGAACCCTGTATTTGTTCACCAACAATGTATTTCTGAAATAAAATTAATTTGTATATACATTACTTCTATACATATATATTCACTTTTATTTCCTTTCAAATGGTTGACACTATTTTTTTCTTGAAAAATCAACAGCACAATTACAAACCCAAGTATTAATTTTAACCTTACTTTTGAAGAATTAGTAGCAAACCAAAAATAATTGCAAGTCACAGTATTATCAGAAGTGAGTAAACTTTTATCTCAAATTAATCTGATGCTAGTGTGCTCCAACACTTATACCATGCAAGATTAGGCTTGCATAAAATAGTAACTTATCTCATTGAACCAATAATGCTAGGAACTAATCATCAGGCATACTACCAGACAATTGAAAAATCATCCTGTAAAAAACCTGGAACTAATGCAGTGAAGTTCACAACCCAGTGAAGTCAATTCTATGAAAAAAAAAAAATTCCTACACAAGGTATTTACATTAAAGGAGCTGGCTTGCCAGATATGTAGTTCCAGAGTAGATTAAGTACTTAACTGTTTTGTTTATGCAATTTCTTTACAGTGAAACGACTTGGCAATTTTGGAAGTAAGTAAAAGATAATATGAGACTAAGGTCACAATCTGCACGTCATAATTATAAACCTGTCTGAATATATTCATCTAACTATATGTTTATTATGACAAAGTAGTATATCAAGGTAATCCTCAAGTTAGGTTTCACTTTACACAAAAGAAACCCTTGGTTTAGGTTGTCCTTCTGTGGTTTGACCTCTCTAGAGGATGTCTAGTTCATCCACTAATGCATGGATGCACAAATCACTTGTTTAGAAATTTAACCAGTATCTTTTCAAAATCAAGGAAAAATCCATGCAAAAGCACGTAAGTAGTAGAAGTCGGGGAAGGAAAAAAAAAAAAAAAGAAAAAGCAAGCATCACTTAAACTTGACAAATAAGGCATCATTTAATACCGTATAAAATCGTAATAGTTTAGTAGGTCCCTTAAAATAATTTAATCAGCCATTTTACATGAAGTATTTTTCTAAATATATGCTTACTTATGTTTTTATATATACATATTTTTTAAAATATGCTTACACAGATTAAGTGCATTTACCCCAAACTTTTTTAGTATATTGCCATACACAGAAACATTTCTCCAAAGTAGAACATGAGAAAAAGAAAAATCATGTTTCTTCGTTCATCAACATTTGCATAAGCGTTGTATTTGAACAAATGCACAGAAATAAGTTTCCAAATTTACTATATACTTCAGTCTTGGACTTACATTTCAAAACTTTGTTTCCCAAACTCATAAAGGGTCAAAAAAATTCCTTTCACAACTCTACTTAACATTTTTCAAACAGAAGTTATAAAGCAAATATGCCCACTTGGTACCACAGTGACTAATGTATGCTTGACTCGATTGTTCACAAATACAGAGACTTAACGTGGCTTGAAATGAAAGCAGCTTTGAACAAAAAGAATGTAGGTGATTCTAAACCTCTGAAATTAGAAGAAAACTACAGAATAAAGCTTTCAATTCCTTTAGAAAAATACTAACCTGTTTTCTGAACTAGATGTAGAAGTACTAGATGATGACAATGTATGAGAATTTGACATGCGTGAGACAAACTTCTGGATGGTGTTACGAGATGGAGCTTTGATCCTTGAGCTACGCCTACTGTGATATTTCTGGAACAAACTCTCAACCTAACGTCAGAAAAAGACAGCAACAGTTGTATTTATGCTATGAATAGCTTGTAATTAAAAGCAATGTTACTGAAACTTACCTACTGCTAAAAAAAAGGTTATTCACCTTCACAATAATGCATTAGTAGTAGCAGGAGAAATTTTAGAAGTCTTACTAATAAACATCACAAGAAACACAACACTTTACAATAAAAACTTATTTGCTTATTAAAAATAGGTAACAGCTTTAACTATACACACAATTACCTCTGAAGACCCTTGTTCTGTTTACCTTTCAGCTAATCCATGAGACATACACAAATTTGAGTAGAAAATCCAAGATTTGAATCACTCACTAAACTACAGTTCTCTGCTATTCTTCTAGTTACGTCTTTTATTTGCAGGGTTTTTTTTTCTACTTACAGAGCTCTTGAGACTGAATTAAAAATGTAATTAAAAACATATCTTCTCACTGTTTTGAAAAGCAAATGTTTTCAGCATTTTTAAGATAAAGTCCTAAAGACTTTTTCTGGAGTGTGTTTTAGATCTGCCATTAGATCTATTAGAAATTGATTACCTCAAAGTTCTTCAGTGTCTTTCTCCAGAGCATTGGGTCTGAGGGTTCAAGCTGGAACACTCGCAGCATAACGAACAGCAGATGAATACAAAACGTCCCACGGCCACAGCTACAAGTCTGCAAAGAAAAGTATATGCTAAAGCTCTACTGAATTGATAATTACATAGAAAATTTTTCCACATTTAAGTGCATCATAGAAAATATCCTATAACCCCCTCACTCCCCCAAAGAAAGTAGTTTATGCAAAATATTTCATATAAAGGCATAAATATCTTCTTACATGGGCTTACAGAAAAAATGACTTCTCAAAATATTATTGAGGATTCTATATGGAAAACCAGACAATTATTACCGGGGGCCCAACTTAAATGCCTCTATGCAAATGTATGTAGTATGAGGAATAAACAAGAGGAGCTAGAGATGTGCACACACCTGCAGGGCTACGATTTTACTGGCATCACAGAGATGTGGTGGGACGGCTCCTATGACTGGAGTGTTGGAATGGAAGGATACAGGCTCTGTAGGAAGGACAGGGAGGGGAGATGAGGAGTTACCCTCTACGGCAATGGCCAGCTGGACTGCAGGGAACTCTGCCTGGGGATGGATGAAAAGACAGCCAAGATGGGTCCAGATCAGGATTAAAGGGAGGGCAGGGCCAGAAGACATAGTAGGGTTCTCCTACAGGCCACCTGACCAGGAAGACCAAGCAGGTAAGGCCCTCGACAGATAGTGAGGAGCAGTCTCACATTCACCAGCCCTGGTCCTCGTGGGGGAATTCAACCACCTCGGTATCTGTTGGAAGGACAACACAATAGGGCATAAGCAACCCAGGAGTTTCCTGGAATGTATTGATGGGAACTTCTCCAAGTGACAGAGGAGCCAACGACAAGAGATGGTCCTTGTTTTCACCAACAAGGAGGGGCTGGTGGGGAGCATGAAGCTCAAGGGCAGCCTGGGCTGCAGTGACCATGAAATGGTAGAGTTCAGGACGCTTAAGGCAGCAAGCTCACTACCATGGACTTCAGAAGAGCAGACTTTGGAAGACTAAGGAAAATGTGGGCCCTCTCTAGAAGGAAAAAAGGGAGACTTGGTCCTCCAGGCTATAGTGAAGGATGAGGTACTCAACTTTTTTGCCTCAGTCTTCACCAGGAAGGGCTCCAGCTACACCACCCAAGAAACAGAAGGTAAAGGCAGGGGCTAGGAGAATGAAGAACCATCCACTGTAGGAGAACATCAGGTTCAAGACCATGTAAGGAACCAGAAGTTGTACAAGTCCACAGGACCAATGAGATGCATCCATGGGTCCTGAGGGAAAAGTTGTGGCAACCTGGTGAAGTTCCCACTGATTGGAAAAGGAGAAACATAACCCTATTTCTAAAAAAGTAAATAAAGATGACCCAGGGACTACAAGCCAGCCAATCTCACCCCTGTGCCCGGCAAGATCACAGAGTGGATCCTCCTGGAAATGACACTAGGGTCCATGGAAAATAAGGTGATGAGTGACAGCCAACATGGCTTCACTAAAGGCAAATGGTGCTTGACAAATTTAGTGGCCTTCTACAATGGGGTTACAGCACTGGTGGATAAGGGAAGAGCAACTGATGTCATAGGCCTGGACTTGCACAAAGCATCTGACACTGTCCCACACAACATCCTTGACTCTAAATTGGAGCAACATGGATTTGATGGATGAACCACACAGTGGATAAGGCACTGACTGGATGGCTGCACTCAAAGAGTTGCAGTCAATGGCTCGATGTCCAAGTGGAGACCAGTGACAAGTGGCGTTCCTCAGGGGTCAGTGTTGGGACTGGTGCTGTTGAACATCTTTGGTGACGTGGACAGTGGGATTGAATGCACCCTCAGCTAGTTTGCCAATGACACCAAGCTGTGTGGTGCAGTTGACATGCTTGAGGGAAGGGATGCCAGCCAAAGGGACCCTGACAAGCCTGAGAGGTGGGCCCTTGCAAACCTCATGAAGTCCAACAAGGCCAAGTGCAAGGACCTGCACATGGGTCAAGGCAATCCCAAGCACAAAGACAGGGTAGGTGATGAGTAGATTGAGAGCAGCCCCACAGAGAGGGACTTGGGGGTATTAGTGGATCGAAAACTGACTATGAGCCAGCAATGTGTGCTAAGAGCCCAGAAAGCCAACTCTGTCCTGGGCTGCATCAAGAGAAGTGCAGCCAGCAGGTCAAGGGAGGGGATTCTTCCCCTCTACTCCACTCTCATGAGACCCCCCTGCAGTGCTGTGTCCAGCTCTGGGGACCCCAACACAAGAAAGACATGGATCTGCTTGAGTGGGCCCAGAGGAGGCCACGAAGAACATCACCAGGGCTGGAGCATTTCCCCTGTGAGGCCAGGCTGAGAGAGTTGGGGTTGTTCAGCCTGGAGAAGAGAAGGCTCTGGGGAGACCTTATAGCGTCCTCACAGTGCTTAAGGGGGGGACAGGAAAGGTGGGGAGGGACTCTCTGTTAGAGATTGTAGTGACAGGACAAGGGGTAATGGTTTTAAACTGAAAGAGGGTAGATTTCTATTAGGTATTAGGAAGAAATTCTTCCCTGTGAGGGTGGTGAGGCCCTGGCACAGGTTGCCCAGAGCAGCTGTGGCTGCCCCCTCCCTGGAAGGGTTCAAGGCCAGGCTGGACGGGGCTGGGAGCAACCTGGGCTGGTGGAAGGTGTCCCTGCTTGTGGCAGGGGGGGTGGAACTAGATGGGCTTTAAGGTCCCTTCCAGCCCAAACCATTCTGTGGTTACATCCGTTTTTAATTAACTTTGTTTCCCACTTTTATTTTTTTTTTTTAAATCAAATGAAGGTATTGCTACACTTCATAGTAGAAGGAATTTATGAGTATAATCATCATATATCCATGACATGACAGTAATCAAACACAAATGAGATGCTTCTGTTTACTCAAAACCTAGATGCTCTCTAATGCACCATCACATTAGTACTATGAAAGTCTATGAAAAGGACCTCACTATGGGTGTTAACGAAATTATCACACCATTAAAGGAATTATGACATGTGCTTGTCATTTTTATATATATATATATATATATATATATATACACACACACACACATATATATATAAAAAAATCTCCTATGAATAAAGCAAATAAAGTCTTTCAGATTGAGAAACTAGCAAAATGAAGTGACCAAATTTTGTCGAAAAATACTTAACATTTAATTTGGAGCCACTTCTAGGAATGAGAAACCAACAGGACAATAGTAATTACTTCCAAACTGGAGTAGTTTTTTTTTTTAAAAAAGAAAAATTTTAGACAAACTAATATACTTGGTACATATTTGACAAAACAAGCTGATTATTATATTACATGAGCACAGATTACAACTTTTAAACATTACTTCACAGAAGCGTTATCATGGGTTGGCAACCAACTTGATCTAACTTGGTTCTGAAAAGTTTTCCAAGATTAACTATAAATTAATCAAAGCTAATGACAACACAAAAACATTCTCTACCTGCGGCCCAATAAACACTCTATATTTATTATCAGGGCTGTCTCCTCCAATTAAGAAAGAGTTGGGTCCTATCTGCTGCAGCAAGTAGAGCCTGGCTCGCATAACTTTGTTGACACGACGATTTGTTTCCTCAGGGCTGTATGGAGAGAAGCCATCTGGAGATGGGGCTCGTCGAGGTGGTGTTATTCGTCCACTCTGAAACTACATCAGCAGTTGCAATATAAGCATTTCCAGGATAACAGTAAGTTCAATTCAGTGCTGTTTTGTTGTGCGATTTTTTTTTTTTGGTGGATTTTTGTGTTGTTTTTTTTGTTGTTTTGTTTTTTTTCCTCCCCTCCCTCTTTCTCCCCCAAATGACAGGGTCCCCAAAACCACTACATTCTGCCTAGACTAAATGACTTAAAAAGGATTACTTTTTTCCCATGCTCAGAACTTAAGCACAAAAGAAAAACTGAAATTTTGTCTGACATTATGACAGAAATGTAGTCTTTTTAAATTGCTTCTATTTTCAAGTCTTCATTGGTTGTTTTACCATATTACTACTGAATTAGCAAGTATAGTTCGATCAGAAGATAATCAGACTTGTAACTCAGTACAGGAAATTGTACTGTATAGGGTTATAATGCTAATGTTTTCACAAACGTAGAAATCTTACAGAAGGGAATATATGGTCAATGAAGACCAAAAGCTTAAGAAATTCCAAATAAAAGGAAAAAGGATACAGCTTCCACTCATTTGCACAATTAAAGTAACTTTTAGCTCAGGATGTTTTTTTTTTGTTTTGCTTCCCCATGATCAAAAATTCAATGGCCCAAACCTTTTATTAAAATTGTCTTCATTTAATTTCTTCACATTTCTAACATTGAGATGCATTAATGGCTCTGTCCAATTTAAAATCTTCTGCTTTGATTTATATTCACTTTGAATTCTATGTTATGATGCAGGTTATTATTGACTCATTGTCCATCAGTTACATAAAAGATACCCTGAAATTCTAAGGTTTTTCATATGAAAGGTTAATATAAAAAAAAAAGAAAAACAATCAAGTAAAAATGGATCAAACGCTAAATTAGATAGTTTGGTGGGTCGTTGTGGTTTTGGTTTGAGGTTGTTTTTTTTTAACCTTTCAATTTCTCTTAACAAGAGAAAAGGAGCTGTGCTGCAGTGCTGTAATTTGTGATATTTGTCCCTCGTTCAGGGGCATGGCAGTACCTTTTTTAATTGATTTTCAGAAACCTTGTTTAGAGCAATGGAACAACAAAAGCAATTAGATCTTATTGTTACTCTAATTGCACTGTGGCCTTATAGACAAGTCAACTGAAGCTTAACTATGGATGAGCATTTTTATAACAAGGAAACACATTAGATACTATTGATCAAAACATTATACACTTGTTTAATGAAGCCAGTTATTATTGCTGAAAACATTCTATTCCAGATCTTCTCAAATGTAATGATAAAGATTTTAGTCTTACAACAATGCACATACCTCAATCTTCCCAAATCTGTGCATAAAGATCAGTTCTGGAATAGAGGATCACAAATACCATACCAGTAACACTATTCTGCAGGAATCTTAATCCAGTCAACAATCTTATACCAGACAGAATATACCGGCCTGGAGAACTGACATGCAAAACTACAGGGAAAAAAAAAAATCCAAACTACTAGCACCTCTTCATGCAAATCAACCTAAGAGAACATACATGTCTTCATGACTGAGTATATTCCTTCACTTATTTCCTAGAAACAAAAATTGAAAGCAGGACTGAATTAAAACCAAAACAAATACCTAATAGTAAAGAATAAAATTCCACACATAAGAAACATAAAATGAGATATGCAGAGCATATCTCACTCAAGTGATACCCTGTCATCAGCATCTTGCCCTACACAGGGATGATTAATTGTCACTGTAAGCAAAATACTGCAGAATATAGCCAAATTTAAAATTACATCACAGCTTGCAACTTACAGGCACTGGAGATACCCTTTTTCTTCTAACACCTGGTGATTCAGATTTAACTGTCCTTGAAGATGATGAAGAGGAGCTACTAGGAGAAGGACTACGTCTTCCTTTTTGTGTAGGTGAAGAAGCAGTGCTTTGTCCTTCAGGTTGAGGTTCTAGAGAGAGTTTGTTCATTTCCAATCCATCTCCTTTTCCAGGGATAGGTTTCACCACCTTACAGGAATTAAACCATGTGTTAGAACTATGAATTGATCATTTTACACTAAAGCAAAATAAATTAATCAAAACCTGTTTTGCTAGCATTATATAATCAAGCCATTATCCAGATACGTGAAGTCTGCATATTCCCTTGATTCTAATATTAACATCTAATAGGGGTTATCTTGTTAATCTACATGCAACACAAAAGCAAGAACCTTTTTTCCCTCTCCATTTGTGTCACTTACATGAGTTGTGTCAGCAAGTGACTTGATTCTCAAAGTACTTCTCTAATTGTCATTCATGATATCTCAAAGGACAGCAGTCTCCGCATTTACATAGTAGGAGCCAAAAGAATTTTTTTTCTACAGGCATTGTCTACTTATTAAGAGCTATAACGTTGGATCCCTCTCTTATATACGGTAAGTATCAGTTGAGAAATACTAGGGTTACTGTTTCTACAGTACACCATTTTTTGCAAAGTAAAAATTACTTTAAACCTGGGGGCAATGCAGCAAAATTAAGATGTGCTGTGCCCTGTAAGAACCACACATGGGTTTTCTGCTTGCCATACACGTAAAACAGCTACACCACATCTGGTATCTGAGCTAATCACTGTGCACAGTGCTGCACTACATGAATACACACATGTGCTCAAGCTGAGTGAGAACATACGTTTCTAATACAATGCTTTGTTGTATGAACACTGAATTTTGACATTGACGTATGGAATATTTCAAGACAACTTTCAGTTGCCTGCCTCTCAGTCCCACATAATACATGAGAAGAGTAAGACCCCTGGGAATCAAATTAAAAGCAGTCATGATAGGCATATTCAGTTTTAGTCCTGTTTCTCCATGTCTTAGAGACTTGACTCAAAGCTGGAAGGAAGCTCCAAGTAACACTTCAGATTAATAGAACACATCTCTCTTATAAAGTTCCCGAGGTCTCCAACTTAGGCAAAAAATGGAAGGGGATTTCCCTGCTCAGGCTATGGGGAGGAAGAAACATCCATACTCAGTGTCCTCCTACTTGGTGATTTGGACTGCATCCACAAGATCAAATGTTATTTTAAACTCAGGCATTTAACTCATCCGACTGAAGCTATTCCACTATCCAGAAATGCATTTCAGTTTCAGCAGGCTACAGGAAGAAGAGGACAATAAGGAGGTTGTGGTCTAGCAGTTAGGCACTGTCTAAAAGTAGTAAAATCTGCACTTACAACCCTGATCAAGCACTGCTTGTTTTACTTGAAGTCACCATATTTAATGTATTGCAAATCTGAACTTTTCAGAAACCTTTGTTGCTTTATTACTATCTAATTATGAAAGTGAACAGGACAAAGGAGAAGTATAAAAAACAGTGCAGCCTTTTTTTTTTTAACTCCTACTGATTACTGTTAATGCTTTTTCTTTCCTGGAAGGTAAGAATGCAAATTCATGTACCTATGGACAACTTACAGTTACCAGCTGCTAGTGCGTGAAAACATTTAAAATGTAAAATGGTAGTAACTGAGTAGTAATTGATCTGAACCATCAAAAGTTGTATTAAAAAAAAAAAAAACAAAACCAAAGCAGAAGCCTCAAGGGAAGTGGGCTGAGCACGGTAACAATTTCAAGCTATGCAGTACAGAAGATGCATTTAAACATTTTTAACACAAAACAGTTGTTACTTTATCTGACCCTTTGAGGTATTGCTTTTTTGGTATTTTCAGAGTTCTTCCTCATGACAGAAAGTTATCAACAGAACCCTCTTCTGTTGTAGAAAAGCTGTCCCCAAACACTTGTTTACTGCATGAGATAATCTTAGTTTTAAATTAGCACTCCCATGAAGTGCTACATAGGAGTCACATTGGTACATGGGAGTCACACTGACCAATGCAACAAACACCTACAGGTAACTAATGGCTACTAATTAACCAGCATTATGTTGAATAGATTTGTAACTATGCATAGTAAATTTCAGGCCTGACCTGCCTGCAATTTCTTAAAACCACTTCTGAGCCATTTATACAAAAGTATTACCCAAAAATCTAATAGAATACTCTGGCATCCGAAGTTTAGAAGAGCTGAGACTTCTGTGAAGGAGTTACTCAGCTTCATTTTTTTTCTGGTTCTAGTAAAATCATCATTTATTTTTTCATCTAGCAAAAATTCCATACACTTCCTTTACAACACATAGAAAACATTAATATTTTTAAACTAAGGAAAAGTGAAGTCACGAGACCACTAAGAAACAAGAGAGTACAAAGCACTATAGTGCAGTTCTGCGCTCAAACAACTTTTTACTTAATCGACAGGAGCTATTTTTGTTGACATTAGAGGGCAGTATTGTCACACTATTATTTTATACTACACGAAGCAGCAGCACAGCTATATGCCTTTTCCTTAAAAATAAAGCTTAATAAATGCATACATTTCAGAAAGTCAGCCACAGTTTCCTGTTAAACATCTCATAAAAAAAGAACATGAGGACCATAATTAAGAGTACGCAAACTGTTAAGAAAAAGAGGTTTCTAATAGAAAAAAAATTAAGGGATCTTTATTTGTAATAGCTGTTAGAGATACTGCCCGTCCATCAGTGCCACTTACCACAGGGCCTCTCCTGCTTCTTCTTTCAAGCCATTCATGCTTCCAGGCTGGCATACACGTTGCCTTGAGTTTCTCCCTGATCATGCGCTCTTCTGGGCGGTCATCCATCTTCTGCAACCCCCTGAGTGTTTCTTTATTCTCCATGTCACGACTATAGCAAAGAGAAAAAAAAAGTCATAAACACAATTAATTTTAGTTAAAACATAATAACACAGCATTCTTTAACTTTGTGCCATCCTACTCTCCCTTCTCCTTACAACGCAGCTGCTAAAACAGCACTTCCAACTGACTGCAGCAAGCCTTCTAAGTTATGATTAATTTGCTAGTCCGACGTTTGCAGCATACCTGTTTTGAGGGCTATTTCTTTAAAATATATGTACTACTTGTAACACTGGACACTCAGTAAAAAGGAAAGTCTTGGCAATTATTAAACCAATACAAAAATTACCCTGTATCTCATGTCATTCACCAAAGGTTTTGCAAGTGTTGTGATGGTTCCTGCATTCCTTGGCAATTCAAAGCTTGCAATCTCTATTTTAAAATGATTTACAAAATGAGTATGAGTGGTAAAAATCTTTCATCTTCATAGGATGCTCAAGCATGAAACAATGTATGTAATGCCTCTTCCTATATGTGAACTCTTCCTCAAAAAAAGAGGAGTTGTAAACTAATACACAGTAAATATGTTTAAACCAGACACAGAAGTCCTGAAAGCAAGGCTAGTGGCCTTAAGAGTTGCTTTCTGAGTGACTGATGACTCAAAATCTCTTAAAGTCAGTTATAATTATAGCAAAATTCACAGCAAGTTTGTATCTGTAAAATGAAGTGTAATCTACCTGGGCTTGTACATTTTTAACCTACAGCAAAGTGATTGCTGGCAACATCAAAAAAGCATAAAAGCCTGTCAGACACTGAAAAACAAAAATGAACAGTCTGGAAGATTTCCTGATTCTCTTGAGCTATCTGCTAAATCACCAAGAAAACCACATTCTCAAGCAGCAGCACATGACCCCACCCATCTTCCTGAGGTTAGCAGTCTTTAAAAATAAGCAAGCTTGATTAAGCCAACTCTCAGAATTAAATTTTATTTAAAAAATAAAATGACAACTTAAAGTGGAAGATAAAGCTATGTAATAATTTAGTTAAAATTGATGCTTTCATGTATGCAGTCTTTAGCTTCTAAACCACTTAGCTATGCAGTTAAAACTACTTTTACGTACTGGAAGATGACCTACGACATATTCCCTGACACATTTATTGCAATAAGATGATGTTAAAATTACAAATTCCCGTCTTCATTAGTAATGTATTACTAAGGTTCACTATTACAAATTCCTAGTTAGAAAAAATAGAAATTTTTGCTGGTCAGGAGTACTCCTGTTTTTTTTTCTCTCATTGTAGAGACAATGGAAACAAAGCATTCTGAGGCAGGAAATAACTCTTCCTGTTCAGTGATGAAAGGTAATAAGCAGATGTATATTGTAAACAAAATACATTTTTTCTTTCAAGCAACATCTAAACCTACTGTTAAGAACCCATTTTAGGCACCCAGAACTGTGTCTAGCAATTAAAGACTTAAAAGTGTTTATAAATAGAAACACAATCCATGCAAAAGTGAATTTTTTTTTTAAAGGTTAAGCAGTAATGTTTAACTTCAAAACTAATACAAGTAACAATTATTTTTGTCCCAGCACTGAACTCCACACTATTGCTTTCTAGAGACAAAAAAACTAATGATAATTCATGATGAACAAAGATATTATAGCAGCAAGTACAGCCAAAATGGAGAATATGCCTACAAGTTTAAAATAAGGGAAAAACTACTGAGTAAAAAAGGTCAACTTCAGACTTTTTCCTCAGTCAAAAAGATCAGTTCAAAGACAAAAATTGTTCCATAAGAACAGTACAGTTCCAAAATAATATAGGTACAAGTTAAAATTATAGAATTACTCTGTTTTTTATATTAGTTATTCCATGGCATGAACCATCTCAGTTGCATGAATGTTTTGTATACAAGACAGAAAACACTATCCCAGCAGTGAAAGAATGACACAGTATTTCATTTGTTCATATAACCATGATTAACTTCCCAACTGATATAAAAAAAGTCTTTTAGAGGCCCTTGGACTTGAATTCATGAACAATGTAATACAACAGTGGAGGCTTCACAATCTGTGCTTGTTCTCTAAAAAGCAGAAGCAGCTATCTTCCTCTCATGTGACAGCTAAACCGATCTACTCTTGCTTGCACAAAGAACTCTTGTGCTTTTCCTCACGCAGGTGGGAAAGACCAACCGAGTCTGAAAGCTTTTGCTTAGTAAACCACTGTTATCTTTTTGCAGACTTTAAGTACTATGTGTATTTTTATAGAGCACAGCTTCTGAAGTGCTCAAGAAAACTTTATGTTTTAACTCAATCTTGGCTAAAATATTTATTAAATATTCTTATAATGTTGGGTCTGTGGAGAAAATATTTTCCCTATGACTGCACATAGTTCCTGCATACTGCAGGACATTCTTATCTCATGGCCCTGAACCTGCAGCCGCTTTTTTTTTTTTTTTTTTTTTTTTTTTTTAATCTAAAGCAAGCAAGGTTTTCCTACTTGACAACGGCTAGGTTGCCAGTCTCCATATCACTGTACTTCAGCACAAAAAAATAATAAATCCCGAATGTGTTCCACTGAGGACTTGATCCTGCAGGGTACAGAGCATTCTGATCTTCATACAGCAAAACCTACTCATGAGTCAAGGTAACAACGTGTTTAAGTGATTGTCAGATAGTGTTTTATTTGAATAGCAGAGACAAAGTCTAAGGAGAAGGCCAAAAAAGTCTCAGAGCACATGCTACCTTAGATCAGAGAGTCTGACATTTCCCAACAGCCCATCCCTCTGCTTCATCAGAAAGCAAGGATTTTGCTCTTAAATGTTTCAACTTTGCCTGATTCACGAAAAAAATATACAAGGTCTTTTTTCAGATAAATCAACTTTTAAACTTTGACCCTCCAAAAAGGCAGCATTAAGGATTTTTAAAATTATTTTTATTAGTAGTTTTAAACCAACACACACCAGCTCCTGTATTATTAGTTAAGAAATCGTAAAGAAAATGATCTAAATTGTAATTCTACAGTACTGAGCGAACTCAACACTGCGATGACTACTGTTTTTTAAGGCGTAAGATCAGTGGTCTGCACATTAATAATTGCATTATTCACTTTGGATCATTTGCTTCATGAACTACAAAATTAAATACAGTAAGATTAATGCACTGCATGGAAACAGTCCACTGCAACATTTTGTGCAATAGAGAAGGAAAACCATTGTCCTTTGTTTCTGTGTCTTAGACAACTTGCAAACAGTAATTGAATAGTTGTATTAACAACTTGTTCTCTATGGATCAATGATTCAATATTTTAAAACAAGGTATGCAATACAGGTGTTATTTAGCAAACTATTGTGAAATATACAAGAAAGATTTACTTCTTAATAGCTCAGTGAATTTAATACTAATTATCTGCATGTATATTTCTAACACAGGGCATATAATGCTATAAAAAAGCTGAATGGTAGCTCCAATTAATTTTCCTGTGCTTCTCAATGTTAAGAAACCGTTAGGTGTCTTGGCTTCTCTGCTATTTTACTTGGGCAAACAGCTTTCTCCAATAGCCATGCTGGACCAGATTTTATTAGCAGCAGAAAAACAGGAAAAAGTCAAGTTCTGAAATAGGAAAGAGTCAATTCACCAAGAAAAGGGAAGCTCTGTTTGCTATATCCACAAATACCCAATCTAGGGAAGAAAAAACTTACTAGCTGCTGAATATTTTTTTTTAAACATTTGCCTGAAGCAAGTTCAGCTCTCAGTGTTTTAGGTAACTTCTTGCCAGTTCCAGCACTGCCCACAATTTCTCTTCTACTGCTAAGTATTTTTAATGATATCAAGGTCAGTTAAAAAAAAATTAGATCAATATGGGCAAGGCATGCTCCATCCTCCTGCCAATCTCCCATGCCTTCTCCTCCTGATCCACTCCTGCTGGCATCTATCATCTAAGAATTTGTGTTCATCCTACCAGAGCAAAAGATCAGGTATGCACATTCTATTAAAATGAAAAACTTTACAGAGAACTTTTTCAACCTGGTACTAAACACCAGCAACTGCCACTTAAAAACAGCATTGAACACATTACTTCATAGAGACTAATGAACCTGGCTTCATAAAATAGTTCCAGTAATTTCAGCCAATTGTTATGTAAGTGTGAAATTATGTTCTATTCTTCTGTTAGAGTACCTGACAAACACAAAAGAGAAAAAAATAATAGTATTTCTTATTTTCGTTGCCTCAGCTTCTCCTAGAGCTCTATATCATCTTTCCTCAGAATAATGTAGGCAGTCTTCATTTGGCCAACACACCATCCACTGAAGCTCACAAGGAGAATTATATTGAGTGGTACTCTTATCCACTGTTTGCCTTTCACTCACATTAAAAAACTGACACCTTATGTCATTTAGATTAATAACTAACAAGCATTCTGTATTAGAAACACCCTTCCATTTACTCAGATAAACCTGTATCTTCTATGTATATTTTGAAACATATTTTTCAATGATAAATATATTAACGTTATAAAAATACAGAAAAAAGCATAAATGGTGCCCAGATGTAATTAAACAGAGGAACATGACACCTAGCAGGTTCCTGTGGAACCTCTGATGCCCTGGGGATTCCAGGCTGCACTGAGAGAGTCCCTTTTGGAAAATACCATCAGCTGACAGCCACTGTATCTGTATATCAAAGTAGTTTTAGAAGCTAAAACATATCCTATTTCTTCCAGTATTTTTCTGTAAAAAGGAAACAAACCTGTACAGAATATGAAAACATGAAAGAAGAACTATTCTGTTATTTGGTTCTAAAACAACAACTACTGAGGCTACACCTACCCTGGTAATAATCGTTACTCAGTCCCAGTTTGATATAGCCCTTGTCTTCTCTCCCTGCAAAGTCATTTTATCAAGCATCTCTCTTGAAGGCTGGTATGTCAAGAGGTGCATTTGTCAAACAGGGTATTTCACTCTTAACAGGACAATCACCACTACTGAAAGCTCTAATTACACAGACTGAACCATCACTTTCAGTGGAACCTCACAGGCCCTGGTCAAGA